ACGATACAAACAGTACCCAAAAGTCAATAGCTGCTAACACCTCACCGTGTCCTTGTTGCTCTCCTCCTCTGACGCCGCCAGTAACGAACTCGTCACATTGCTTTGGATGTACGAACTGGATGTAGAAGTGGAGGTATTTGAGCTTCTTAACGCAACGCACAGAGGGATCAACAATGGCGAAGCTAAAAGGATGAGAAGGGTAATTGTCAAGGGTATAATTGTCTTTTAGCTAATCTGATATTTTGAAATAACTGTTATTAAAAAAATAAGGGCAAAGTTGTCTTTTCGCATATTTTTAACGGAGACTGTGACGGAAAAGCGAAAATGGACCTAAGTGATAGTTATTTTCGAAAGATGTTTTAAACTGATATTTGGCCAAACCTCAGGGAGCGTCAGTGAAATTATCCCTAATAATTATTATGGTGTCGTCGCACCCGTATGCTTTTCGAGCTAGTGACTTTTGAGCTTTGATATGATATTTTGTTTTCTATTTAATTGTTTCTTGCAGCTTGAGTACAACAGTTCCCCGTGGGATAAAAACTCAGCGAAGGATAAAAATCCTACGTCTTTTGCTACTGCTAGTTTTTGGTCATGAGCTTTCTTGGACTTTCTGATATATATATTGTGGGATTAATATTATTAGCTCTTGTGGACCTTCCAGAAAAGAGGAAAAAAAAATGAAGGGACTTCACTGTCAAGGTATCATATCATGCCGATGGTGGTTCATGGCGTGGTTTGTGTTTGGCGGCGGTGTATTTCCAGAATCTATAATTCTATATATGTATATATATTGTTTTGGTGAATGGATTGTGTTCTAAGAATATACATTTAATGTTGGATAAATAATGTAAACTAAAAGAGAAGCTATCATGACAATGACAAGCGTCTGCGAGCTCTTATTAGTGATTGATGAATTGAGAGATTTATTAACAGATTTTTTTAATTTTCACATATTTCTAAAACTATCTTTATGCAGTGTTTAAAAATGTGTCTTTAGACAGCTGAATAGAAGATTTCATGATTTTTGTCATTAATATGATTATTTTTTTTTTCCCCTCCAAGGATATTGAAGTTAATTATGTGCGTGTTCAAGTAATGTTCCATTCACTTTTACATAATTAATTAAATATCAATAAAAATTGTAACGAACGATGTAACCTGATTAGATGTACTGTGGCAAGGAAAATTTGCAATACTATGGTGGTGCCATATTGTTTTGCCTATGTATTATCACCAATTAATTAAATTAAAGAATCATCATTTTTGGGCTATTTTTAGATTATTCTATATATTTTACTAAATTGAAAGTTTAAAACTGAAAAGTATGAACACAACACTCATGAATTATAGATTTAAATAGTCATACAAAATAATTACTTTGAAGATGTACAGTAATGCAGTATAATATGTTGAGATATATGTGAAGTCGTCCGATCATAATTTTTTTTTGCATATATTGCAATTATTATTTTTTGGAGACTCGAATATATTATTATATTGGATTCAGTCTGGTGCGACCGAACGTGTGCACAAAATAATGCACAACATTTTAGATTTAGAAATAATGTCAAGTGGGCACCATATTTTAAAATTTATAAAACCACTAAATACTTATACAATGGAGTATGAAGTGAGAAGGGATCGTCCCAAGAGATCTAAACAATTATAGATTTTCCAGAATTGAATTCTACTTTAGTATTTATGTGATTACTAAAAAGGTTTGGTTTTGTGATTAGACTAATTTTAAACTTAATAATGCAAATAAAGAGTTTAGTATAAAAGATTGGAAAGAGACTTAGGGTGTAGGATTCACCACTAAGTATATTCCCTAACTCATTAACTTTTAACTAATTGGGGAATAAAAATGTATAATCTAGAATGTGGCTAATAATTACAATAAAAAGTATAAACCATCAATTTCAAGCATGAATCAACTACCTAATGACAATTAAACTAAGTGTAGTGTAATTCACCAATTCAAAGCATGATTCATCAATTTAAGTTACAATTTCAACACACATTAATCTAGAGGGTAATGAAATTGTGACAATAAGTATGGATTTCAAGCACTAGTCTGGATTGTCTACTTACCTAGGAATTAAATTGCAATTAAATTAATTAACTTTAAATTAAACTAACTAAGCCTGAAATTAAACTATTTAGACAAGACATTAACCTAATTTTGTAGTACAACCCATCTAATAAAAGCAATTTCTATCAAATCAAAACACAATTACATCTAATTAATACAATGTATAGTCATCACAAGATTCAAGTCACAAAGAAATCAAGTGTAGAAATTGATTATCATTCAAAAACATGAAAGACAATATGAAATTGACATAGACAATCGAATGAAAGAATTAATATATATATATATCAAGGCTATAACATAAATTACACAAATTGATCCCCAAAAGTCAAGAGTTAAGAATTAGGTTACATGCTTAAGGTTTATCCAACCATAAGTTGAAGAATCAGCCACTCATGGTTGATAGATGCAAGATGTCAACAAGCCCTATCCTTTGATTCATCTGGCTCCTCTTCTTCTTCTCTGAGCTTTTCTCAAGAACCCTAACTTTTTCCTCTTCGTGTTTTCTAGAGAGAATAAAAATATCGATACAGAATATTAAAACTTAATAAACTTTTTTATTATTCACCTAAATAAAATAAATACTAACCCTAATCTAATGGCTCACTGGGCCTTAAATAACAACCCTATTAAAGCTCAATAGTTCACAAAATAAGCCCAAACAATAAAAAAAATCTGTAATATTGCCAAGTCCTGGGGGATCGATTCCCCCAGAGTTGGAAATTTCCTTTAAGCCTTATTTAGCTCCATTTTGGCTCCGGACTAATTGGTTTGCTTCTTCATCTTTGGGAATATCATCAAAGGCCCGAGATTGACCGCTTTCGAAGAATAAACACACTATACAAGCAATGGGCTACGACCTCTTTTTGTCATTTTCTGAACTTTTTCTGAATATCTTTGCTTGACTCCAAAAAAGCTTTAATGGACCGTTCTTAGCTCATTTTAACTTTATTGCCATGAGATACACATAAACATAAATTAAGACTAAAACATAAAGTTAAAATATATGCAAAGACTAAAATACCCTAATTTAAGTGCTGAAATGTGCAACATTTAAGCACTTATCACGGTCCATCACCAAAATGATGGATCCGGTCCATAACCAAAATGATGTACTAAACCCTATTCCATTTTCGCACCCTTTTCTCCCTTTCTAGCCTGCTTAATTTTACCAATATACCTTTATCTAACAGGATGTGACCATTGGTAAATAATTAACTAGCTTCTATATATCTAATAAAGCCTTAAGCATTCTAAGAAGATAACATAAGCCTCACGTCTATCTATTTACTGACTTGCACCATCATCATGGCGGGTGCCATAAATTGAATAGTCATTATGTTACCAAAGATGCCAATTCCTTTTATATATTGCTCTGATCCCTTTTTATAACTATTTAAATTATGTTTAAATTACGGGTATGTTTAATTTGATTTATACTTGTTGATAAGTAAATTCATACACGCAATTTTGCTACAGGCTTTGCGTCTATGGGATGCTGCGTTGGTATCCACATCTGCTCTCACTAATGCTTTCATGTTGAAGGAGCCAAACCAAGAACCATGAGGTATTATCGGTCATCTGTATGCATGAATCGAAAAACTCAGTACTCAGTACTGCATGAACATGGTGTCTGTATCTGTCTTTTGTTATACACGTTAAGTATTTGTTAGTGTTTGTCTATGTCCTCCCTGAGAACAGAACCTTGTTGACTTGCTGGATCTTTTATTGGAATCTCTGTCCAAGGACTTGACTTGTTTAATTTAGAGATGGAAAAAGTCTGTTCCCTTTGGTTTTATAATTATGTTGAAATTTCTGCATATTAGATATGTTAGACTTGGTTTGGTACTCAAAAGTCAAGACTTTGAGGGGAGGAAAAGGAAGGGAAAGGGTAAAGGAAAATAAGAGGAAAGAAAGGAACTCTAGTAGGGAAAAGTTTTATTGCTTTTCCCCCTCTAGAAATGAATCCAAATTTTATTGGTTGGTGAAATTGTTTTTGAATTCCGCGTACTAATCGGTGGAACTAAATAGAACCTAAAAAATGCAGCTTCCAAACTTTGAGAGGATGGAAAATCCAATTATGAGCGGCTGGAATTCTTGAAAGATTAGCAAATTATTTGTTGAAGTATTCTCAAAGCCATTGTGGCCAATAGGACGAACTAGGGCTTCTAATTAAAATTTCGTTATAAGTGTTTTATTAGTGATGTGTAGCGTTCTTTTTTGGTTCAACATGTGTTTTTAATTTTAATTTACAGGGTGATGGTGATATTGAACTCGAGACCTTTGACTCTGAAACCATATTAATAACCATCTAAGTTTAGGCTATTACAAAAGGTGTTACTTTAATATATAAACCTTCAATAGGTTTACCAAATTTATTTGGAAAGATGGGTTAAGTTTGTTATTACCAAATTTATTTGGAAAGATGGGTTGAAGATGGAATCCTCGTGTACCTTAGGTATGTTCATCCCAATTTGCAATTTTGATTATGTTGTGAATTCTTTGTCCCCGAAGAATAATTGTAATTTCAGCCTAATTTAAGCTCCACTTATGAATAGCAACTATAATTTCATTTTCAGACCCATAGGAAAATTGGGTTTCTTCATGTTTACATAAAAATTTCCCTTTTCCCTTTTGCCCTTTTCCCTTCATTTTTTTTCTTTTCCTAACAAATTTTTAATATGCTACGGTGGAAAAAAAGGTGTGGCATTATGGAGGAATACTTTGAATTGGAATGCATAAAAAATATCAAAGGTTAGACTCATCAAAAAAACAAAGAATCAAAGGTTAGGTCTAGGTTTGACGTGACAAAACAAAACTACATAAAGTCAATTTTACTTATTCAAACCATATTAACACGTTTCGATTAAAAATTACCTATAACGTAACGCATGTTTAAAACTATGTCAACAGATATATGAGCCCAGCACATAATATTTGAATATGTCAAAATGCCCAAACTGATGGGTATTAAGAAACACCACGGAAGTAACTACCTTCCAAGACAAGAAACGACTATCACTAATCTTTATTATATATATACACCTCCCTCCCTTATAAGGTTTCTATTCCACCCAATATCACCACCACAAATCTGATATAATTTCCTTCATCGCCGCCCACAACCACCAGGTCCACCACCACAATATCTTGTATTAGTTGTGCCAAACTTTGTGTTTTAGAATCCCAGAAATGTCTCTAAGAGCTAGATCAATCACTTCCAAACAGTCGGAGATGGTTACAGCACCCTCCTCTTCATCCGACACCGATGATAATGAGCTGGACACCTCGAAAACACCAGCACCGGCGCGATCTTCGTCCCTCTCGCAGCGCGCAATCTCCCAAACCCTAACAGGCACAGCCAACCTAGCCAACCTCCTCCCCACAGGCACCCTCTTGGCCTTCCAGCTCCTCACGCCAATCTTCACCAACAACGGCTCGTGTGACTCCGCCACGCGCCCCATGACACTCGTCCTCCTCCTCGTCCTCTCCGTCTCCTGCTTCCTCGCCTCCTTCACGGACAGCTTCAAGTCTCCAAACGGGCAAGTTTACTACGGATTGGCCACGTTCAAGGGGATGTGGCTGTTCGATTATCCGGCTGCAACGGCCTCCGGCTCGGGGCAGCTTCCTGACTTGAGCAAGTACAGGCTGAGTTCCATTGATTGGGTTCACGCAGTGTTGTCTGTGTTTGTGTTTGTTGCAGTGGTTTTGAGAGATAAGAATGTGGTGGCTTGTTTTTACCCAATTCCTGCTCATGAGGTTCAGGAAGTTTTGAACATTGCTCCTGTCGGTATTGGCCTCATTTGCAGCTTGTTGTTTGTGGTCTTCCCCACCAGAAGGCATGGGATTGGTTACCCTGTTACACCTGGCAAATAAATTGTCAATCTCTATTTTTTTTTTTATTATTATTATTTTTTTTTTTTTCATTTCATTTGATGAAAAATGTAAGAAATGCAGTTTAAGCATTCTGTAATTACAAAATAATATTATTAACAATTTTTTTATATGATATTGAATTAAATATATTTTTGTATAATATTGAATTAAATGTATTGTCACCATCGTCGTTATTGCTTTAAGTTTGTAATTAACGAATAAATATGTTAAATAATTGGGTTAAGTAGTTGGAAGGTTCTGCGAATTGGGAAATGATGAAACCAACTCCATTAATTAATTAATTGATAAAATAGGTGAATTATTGCCTTCATGAATTTGGTGACTTTCTTTAAGGTTGCGCGGTTTTCTACCCACCTTTGCGGAAAAGAAATTAATAAGCGTTTAAGAAACAAGTCCAAACTGGCATGTTCCTTGCAACAGCTAGACAACTTCATGAAATGGTTATATATATATATGTGTGTGTGTGTTTATTTAAGTGGGTTTTTTTTTTTTTTTTTTTGTCATTGATAAGAAATTCATATAAAATTATTCATACACTCACTTTGCTTTTTTGAATTTGGGAGATTCGAATCTTTACTATCCACTTTAAAAGAACTCTTTCTGAACGAGAGGATTTTGTATCATTTTATTGCACAACCACCAATACAAATTTTGTTTTCGTTTTATGTCAATGCAGTAGAAATTATGTCAATCCAGTAAAAATATCACGGAGGAGGGATATAGTATTGTCTCACAACGGATACAGAAACAAATTATGCCTTTATTTATTTATTTATATAGCATTAAAATTAATTATAGACTTTTTAAATTAAAAACCCATCACTTGTCCTACAAATACAAATTTGTGAAACATATACAAACACCAAGAGACTGTGGAGCTCCATCGAATCTCCTTTACTCCTAACAGACTCGAATTCTAAAATAAATACATTGAAGGAGTGTCCCATTAAACAAGTTTTGAAGATTCAACGATATGCTTATGTTTATGATAAGAGTATTGCTATTTTATCCACACGTGGGTCCCACACTCCTGCTTGTTGCGCGTGGCCATGTCTTAAGTCAATGTCCTCTATTGATGGGAAATCTTAATCAGCTTTACTCGACAATTAGCTTTATTCAAAGATAAAAGACTTGCAATTTGTGGTGTCAAAATTTCTTATAGATAATTTTTGTTATTATTATTTTCAAAAATCAAGGTTTTGGAAGAGGAACAGAGTTTCCAGTTTATTATTGAATTTCAACAAAATATATACAATTATCTTTTAAAGCTAAACCAAATTATCATGAAAACTCTGGACAAGACGACAATAGTAATTTATTGTGTTACCATAGATTTCCTCTCAACTTTATTAATTTGAGGATAAATTATTTGGTTCAAATTTAAAGTATCGATTATGTGCATCCAAACAAAACATGGTGTATTGCGAGGGAGTCTTGGTATGAAAACTAAAAAAATATGGTAATTTTGAACCCAATGGGCTAACCCGCTATCAAAGTGTTACAAATTTGGATGTAATCCCAAAAGGTCTAAATAAAAGGTGAGAATTATATATGAGAGGATGGGCAAGCCCATGGAAAAGGCGCAACGGCTGAACAAGCCGAAAGGGCAGCCCAAAAGACAAGCCCAACCCAAGCAGCACTAAACGACCGTTGCTGCAACAGCAAAATCAAAATGTTTTTTTGAAGCAAAGTTTGTGGGCAGGTTGTAACCAAACACTCTTCTATAACCACTTAATTTTAAATTTATTTAATTATATTGGGTAACGTAATTTAAATATTACTAAAAAATAATTAAGTTATAAGTTAAAATATATCAATTCCCACCAAGGTAAAACATCAATGAGTGTTTCGGTAAAGGTAAGAGAGTGTTTCTTATCTATTGATCAATTAAATTTGCTTAAAAATTCGATGTTTTTGTTTCCGCTTTGAAGCAGCCATCTATACTCAATATAGTTGTCACAACCTTCACTTAATCTGTAACAAATAATAGGGTAAAGCGAAAAAATTTCTCCTCAGTTACGTTTGGATTTGCAAATAAATTCTCACTAAATTATATTTTGTACAAAATACTCTATGAATTATCACATTTTGCCCCAATACCTAGACCATATTTCATTAAAGGTTCATAGTATCATTTCTCACTGAATGACGTTTAATCTATTTTTTTTATTGAAATAAATTATAAAAAAAATTCATACTAATTTGATGGTCTACTGTCCATTAAATTATATTTCATTATATTTTGTACATAATACTTGATGAATTATCACATTTTGCCCCAATACCTAGACCATATTTCATTAAAGGTTCATAGTATCATTTCTTACTAAATGACGTTTAATCTATTTTTCTTATTGGAATAAATTATAAAAAAAAATTCATACTAATTTGATGGTATATTGTCCATTAAATTATAATAAAGTTACCTTAAAATTTTGAAATTAATTGTTTAAATAAAAATCATATGTAGAAAATTTTTAAACAATTTAATTAATTTCTTAATTTTTCATGAATATATTACATAAAAAAGAAGGTTTTTTTTTTAAAAAGTAATTTATTAATTTTTCATCAATATATTGCTATGAAGCATGGACACGGACACGGGTACGATGCGATGCGGATACGGTGACACGGCAAATTTCAAAAAAATAGGACACGGACACGGCTGAGATATGCCTATAAAATTATATATATATATATATATATATATATATATAATTATATATTCAAAATATAATTACTAGAACCTTGCACATTCATTTTAACAAACAGGTATATATAAATAATTAATTGCAAATAAAATAACAACAAATAATAGGACCAATTTCAATAATTTCATCTCTATTATAAGAAAAACATAGACAAAACAAAATAGAAAATAAATGAAAAATAAAGTTGATCCAAATTTCAAACGAAGATGTGCAGAAAAGACATAGCTATAATGAGCTAAATATGTACATGAATAAACATATATACTTTCAGTATTTCACAAAGTCTTATTCATGTAATTTTAAAAAAAAATAAAAAAATGTCGTGTTCATGTAGAGAGGTAATTGAAGAAGAGGAGAGACTGAGAAAGGAAGTGAGAGAAAATAAATTTTCTGTGTAATACTCTGTTATCTGTAGTTGTTTTTTTATTTTTTCAAAATTTTACTTTTAAAATTAATAAATTACATTAGGTATCCCATTTATCTTTTAAAAAAAAAATTACAAAATATACCCCGCCGTGTCCCCTGCGTGTCCAAGCCTTGTCCACCACGTGTCCTCTGCGTGTTCGAGCCGTGTCCAATAAAAAATAATTTCTAGACATTTTACAAAAGTGTCGGACACATGTCTGAGCCTTAGACACGGGTGTCAGTGTTTGAAAAGTGTCCGACATTAGTACGGAACCCCTGGGAGGAGTGTCCGTGCTTCATAGATATATTGTAAGAAAAAGAAGGTATTGAGTATTTTTCTAGGGTAAAAAAGTTTAAACTGGTTATAATAAGTAATATTATAAATAATAAAATTTTAACAATAAGTTAATCTTTTTAGAAAATAGTAGTTACTTTTTTTTTCATTTTTTACAATAAATTGATATTAATAATAAAATTAAGGTAAATAATATAATTAATATTTAAATAAGTGAAAATATAATAAAAATAGTTTAATAAGAAGACAAATTTAATGAGAACAAGTAAAATAGTCTTTTGTAATGAATTTTTTCTTAATTATAACAAATCAATAGTTGATGAGGATTTTTATAAAAGGGCAATAGTTCAAGGTTTTTTTTTTTTTTTTTGCACTTTACCTTAAAGAATATAAAATTTGAGTTATTTTCAAAAATTAATACAAAGAACATTATTGAATTCTACAAGTTTGAGTGGTTTTATTTTAACTTAAGTATATACAGTTTTAATATTTAATGCATATATTTTAATTAATTAATTACTTTTTAATTAATTTTTGATTGCAACGTGTATTTAAATTAATTTTATAACTCATAATCATAAATATACATGTACTTTAAGTATAAAAGTGCTTTATAATAGTACAGACAATAATTTTGTAATAGCTTCGGGTGTGTTTAGCAATCCAAAACATTTTTTGTTTTCTGTTGTCAATCATTAAAAAGGGGAAATAAACACAAAAAACATGTTTAGTAATTTATTTTTGTTTCCTCTTAATGAAAACTGATAGGGAAAAATATAAACCTACCATATCCTCGATAAGATTGATTAGATTTCATTATCAAGGATAATGAAATCTGACGTGGTTCAACAGGGTAAGAATAATCCTATCATAATTGGAGGAGGTCAAAAGGATTATTCAAATCCCCGACAAATCTGGCAACAAATCTCCTATGATCTCGCACAAGTAGAAGATAAGATCAACCATCGACATCGGCAAAACCAATTGGATTCCAATCAACAGCCATAAATAGGGCACCAAGCCGTTAAAGAAGGTATGAGAAAAAATCCCTAAACAGAATATACATAATTATTATGTGATACGATTACAAGTACTAACTTGATCGTCGGAGGTTCTTCGGCCGGCACCCCACCGGTGCCATTCGAGGTGACGTCCCTTTGTTTTGCAGGTAAACGTCGTCGTTCCGAGTCGTGTGGATTTTCGCATCAACAGCTGGCGCCGTCTGTGGGAACGATTAGTTCTCTGAAGAAATAATAATCCCGACGCGACTTGGCTCGGACGGCAAAACGAAAGTTTCTGATCATGGAAACCTTCCTAAAGTCATCAGTTGACAACGGGTTTCCATGTTCTTATATAAGGACGGGACTCTACATCTTGATTACCCGTCTATCATACTGGGGGCAAAACAGTGGGTTACATGATACCACCCTTCAAAATTTGGCACGTCGACCCAGGCAGTTCAATATGGTGTTTTCCATCTAGTGATGCTTGGTCCCTTCACTACTGAGGTTTGGTCGTTTAAGACCAGACTCCATCTCATATCGGGTAGCAGCCAATAACCAAGGCCTGATCGTTGAAAACTAAGACCTGATCCTTCTGCACCTACATAAATGGGTAGGTCTCCACCCATCAAGAAGATCACCACCAACAAGGGGGTCTCTACCTACTAGTAAAGCTTCTACTATTGAGGATGTCTCTAGCAACGAAGTCTCATTACTCCGTCCATTCATACAATCAGGGTGGCCTTTAACACCCAAGAATGTATCAAGACCTTCAGGTCCAAGGAGGTCCAATGTCCCTTAAGATCCCATGTCCAATGAGGTCTGTATTCCCAAACAGGTTCCTAAGTTAAGGGCGATCATTGGACCCAACGAGGTACTGACCACCAGACCATCATCTGTCAGCCGTTGGGTACCACGCCTCTATCCACCAGGCATCAAGCCAGTCGCTGAACACTAAACCTCCACCTACCAGATGACAGTCGTCACCTCTCTTCCCTTGCAGGAATGGCCTATTGACTTCAGATTATGCAGAATTTTGGATTGATAATCCATTACAGGTTAATTTTTAGTAATTACCCAATCCAATATTTTTAGACAACTGTAAATTGTTGCAGCACCAGACACCCCGTCCGTTGCATAAACGTCTATAGAATGGGTCATCACCTAAGATCCTAACATCGGGGGCAAAATAGTGATCATATGATATCAATCGCCGATCTACATATGCTGACAAGGTTTAAAAGATTGATCGTACCTTGGTACATCGAGCTAGTCGGGTTTCTAGTGTACATCGAGCTAGTCGGGTTTCTAGTCTCTACACGACAGGAAGGGTACAACCCTTGGTTATTATAAATCAAGGCTTGGTTATCCAAAACCAAGGCCTAGTCAACCAAGACTAAGAATTGATTGTCCAAAGTCTACAAAGGCTCGGTCATCCAAGATCAGTGCTCGGTTACCCCAAGTTTGGTCATCAGAGACCAAGACAAGGGCCTAAGATCAGGACTTAACCTACAAAGGTCAGGTGAAAAAACGATCATCCCCCTCACGTGTTATACTTATGTGGTAATTAATTCCCTTACTAAAGGGACAAGCTGAGTAAAGCTCGTAAAGTTTATTCCCTTGCTAAAGGGACGGGTTGAATGATTCCCGTAATCAAATATCCCGGTACTATAAGGGATAGTAAATAAGTGTCCTGTACTATAAGGACCCGGGCTGAATGAATCCCGTAATCAATATCCTCGTACTATAAGGGATAGTAAATAAGTGTCATGTACTACAAGGACCTGGGCTGAATGAATCCCGTAATCAATATTCCTCGTACTATAAGGAATAGTAAATAAATGTCATGTACTGCAAGGACCGGGGCTGAATGAATCCCATAATTAATATCCCCGTATTATAAGGGATAGTAAATAAAAATTCCTTATTAAAAGGGACGAGTTGAGTAAAGCTAATACAATTTAATTCCTTTATTAAATGAGTGATGACCTGAGTAAAGTTCGTCCAATTTATTCCCTTACCAAGGGAAGAGTACCCAATGGTACCAAAAAGAGTACCCCGAACAGAATACTCAAAGGTACTAAAAATAGTACCCGCGAGGAGATTACCCAAAGGTACTAAAAATAGTACCCGAGGGAAGAGTTCCCAAGGCCAAAAAAAAAAAAACTTCTACTGTTCACAGGGGTTGAAAAAAAAAAAAAAAAAAAAAAATCCTGAGTTACTATTCACATGAATAGTACCTCGCGGGTACTGTTCACAGGGGTTGATGAAAAAATAATAATAATAAAAATAAATAAATTTACATTTCCAAAGCTATACATGCAAGTTTGGGAATAGGGGGCAACTAATAGGGAAAAATATAAACCTACCCTACCCTCGATAAGATTAATTAGATTTCATTATCAAGGATAATGAAATCTGACGTGGTTCAAGAGAGTAAGAATAATCCTATCATAATTGGAGGAGGTCAAAAGGATTATTATATCCCCGACAAATCTGGCAACAAATCTCTTATGATCTCGCACAAGCGGAAGATAAGATCAACCATGGACATCGGCAAAACCAATTGGATTCCAATCGACAGCCATAAATAGGGTACCAAGCTGTTAAAGAAAGTACGAGAAAAAATCCCTAAACAGAATATACATAATTATTATGTGATACGATTACAAGTACTAACTTGATTGTCGGAGGGTCCTCGGCCGGCACCCCACCAGTGCCATTCAAGGTGACGTCTCTTTGTTTTGCAGGTAAACGCCGTCGTTCCGAGTCGTGTGGATTTCCGCATCAACAAAAACATTTCTCATTTTTATGAAAGAAAGAGAAAATATCTAAATGAAGTTTCCTGTGTTTTTTCACTATAGCAGAGTAAACGTTTTCACCACTGTTTCCCTTTTGTACGCAACAACTGACATTACTCTTCCATTAATACACAACCACTGACATTACTCCATTAATACTTTTATATTCTATATATATACATTACACAAAATCTATTTTTATATTCTATATATATACATTATACAACTGTATGCCCTGTATTTTATTTTTTTTTCTTTCTTTTCTGATTGTCATACATGTATTGGTTGTGGTTTGTTTTCAGATTTTTTGTTAATATATATGTATATATAAAATCTATTTTTATATTCTATATATATACATTATACAATTGTACGTTTATCTTGCCCTGTATATATATATATATATTTTTTTTCCTTTTTAGATTATGTCTTTTATTGTGATTGAAAGTTAGATTTTGATAGATGGATGAAAAAATAAATTAAAAAAAATTTTCAAAAAAAAAAAAAGAAATTTGTAACAAATGTTTTACTAAACACTGCTTTTTGTTTTTTGTTATTAAAATTGTGGCAACAACAAATGTTACTAAATGTTATTTTTGCTTTCTGTTTTTATTTCAAAAAATAAAATTATTTTTTGATTTTTTTGATTTTTTTGCGAGTGCAAAAATAGAAAACGAAAACGTTACAAAACGCACCCTCTATTATTAAAAGTGTTTTCATCGTTCTAAAAGCAATTTCAAATTCGGCTCTTAATAGGAATGGATTTCTCAAAATTTGTTACGATAGTCAACAATTTTGTAATAACTCTGTTTTCATCGTTCTAATGGCAGCAATGCAAAGGGCTCTTAATAGGGAATGGATTTCTCCTATAACCCTAGTTTAAAAAGATCTAATCTAACGGCTGATATCACCCCTGAATTAAAATCCTATCCGTTCAATTGTCTATAAAAACTTATTAAAGCGGAAGCAAAGCTTCCTAGGGTTTCAGAACTAAAGTAAGCTGCGCCTCATTTTCCCGTCTCTCTCTCTCTCTGAGCGAAGTCAAGGTAATATCGTTCATTTTTTTCGAATAATGCGTTGTTTTTAGATGATTATATTCTGTTTGGCTGCCGAGAAAGTGGTGAATTGTTGTATGTACAGTTTTAATATGTTTATTGGTTTTCAATGTCAATTCTAAACTGTCTAATTGTTCTATGAGCTGCAGTCGATTAGATACGATTGTTTTCTTTTTGTATCGAACGGTGAAAAAGGTATAACTCGTTGATTGCTTTCGTTTTAGTGCATTTTTCTCAGCAACCAAACATAGTAGTTAGATATAGTTACGAATATTATAGACCTGATGCTTAAATCCCTGTAGATCTTCCATGTGGAAATTCAGATGGCCATAGAACAAATCAGGGCTTCTGAGTGATATGGCTACGCTGCACGTGCTTTAAATTAAGAATTTGAATATATATTGATGTTTATCTGCAAATTTCTATATTTATCTCCATATCTACGTGTAATCAAATTAGAAGTTAGCCATGATGTAACTTTCAACAATTACAGTAATTTAGTTTTTTTTAATCACTCAATATCAACTATGAAAGCCAACAATTTTAGTAATTTAGTTTTATAAACACTCAATTTCAACTATGAGTACGTCTTATTTAATATATTTTCGATGGTATACACATCTTATTGTATGTTTGATGTAGTGTTTTAGTGGGATCGCTTTGTTGATAGTTCGTCCTCTTTTGATTGAATTAAACAAAATATTTTTCGAGGAATTGATATACATTTAGTAATATATATTTAATATATCTATTTTTGCTTATAGTAATTTAAAATCAAATTAGGTGCCCTTGCTTTGATAGATGTGTGATGTTGCCCCTTTTCTTGCAATGGTTGAAATGACCTCCCTGAAACAACACAGATGTAATCAAGGCTGGAGTCTCATAAGGGCTCTTTTTGCCAAAACCCTTATATAGGGTATTTGGGAAGAAACACCAAATGAGCCCGAGAATTGGCATAATTTTGTGCCATAGGCCTTTGGTAAGGGAACATTTCATATCTTTTGCTTGAACTGGTGGAAATGTCATATGTCTTGTGGTCAAGGGTTTCTTCTCTTTATTTTATGTGATTTTGATTATATATGTATGTTTTTGTTTTAGATGATAAATTGTTTTGGAGTTGTATTCTTGTGGTTTTACATCTTGGGTATGCATTGATGTAACGATGAATAAACCACATTGTTGTATTTTATTCACCTAAGATATTTTCATTTATTACTTTGGTATTGTTCAATACCTCTTATTTTCTTTTTTGGTGTTTTGTTCTGTTCTGGCTTGTGCCCTCATTTACCCTAAATTTCTTTGGTTGCCCGCATTCCTTTAGTACATAGTTGCGTTATCCATATACATATATGAGCTATGTTGAATTATATTTTTGTTATTGGAGCCTTCTAAGTTCACTACATATGTACATCATGTCAAATGGGGCTTTGAACATTTTCTTACTAGTGGGGAAAATAGAAATAAGATCTGTGAGTTTTGCAGAGAAACTAAATACAAGGTAGGAAGCATGTCTCATCGCAAGTTTGAGCACCCAAGACATGGCTCATTGGGATTTCTTCCAAGGAAAAGAGCTGCTCGTCACCGTGGGAAAGGTTTCTGATTCGCCTATATTCCTAGTTCTCTCTGTTGCTCCTGCTGTATTACTAGTTTTTTTTTTTTTTTTGTTGTTATTAAATATTTATTTATATTGTTTTCCTAAAAGATCATTCATTGTTTGATATTATTGATGAACTTGCAAGGCTTTTATTTCGATTATCCTGGCATAATTCCTTTTTTTTCATTGCCATCATGTAATGCAGTTTGTCTTGTTAATATCATAAGCTCTTACCTGTTGGATGCCATTAATATTGTTAGATGTCCCATCTATGTCCAAGTGGTGCTAATGGGATCACTCCAACTTCAAATTGCTTATTGAAATAAGAGTGGACTCCAGCTTCCTTTAGACAGCGAGTTGATTGAGAGAATCTAGCTCTCTACTTTGATATCGGATTCAACAATGATTTACTGTCTTGCTTGATTCAACTTGGGCAATTATTGGTTCTCCACGCCCAACTGAATGTTTGTGGGGATTTCATTTAGTGTCAAGTATTACTTATATGATCTTGAGGTCCTATTTCTTTTGAGTGTAGTCATTTCCAGGAAGGTTTAATCAAGAAAAAATATGCAAATATGCTTACAAGCTTTCCCTGGCATCTAAATTCTAGTTTACTTATAGTTTTATTAAATTATGAATTTCTTTGTGCTGATCTTATTATTATTTTTTTTTCCCCTTAAAAATCAGAGAACGGTTTCATACTTCTGTTTTTTTTATTCCCAAAAAAAAGAGAAAAAAAAAAAAAACTAGTAAATGGATTGTTATATTTATATTGTAGTATATATATGTTTTGATATTGATTTTATGTTTATGTACAGCTTAAAATTTGGTTGCTTTGAGTAGTTTGTTTATAGTTAATAAGAAATTGTCAGATTTGTACCAAAAACATGTAATTGGGTAGCTCTTCTAACTCTTTGAGCCCTGTAGTTACCGACTTTATTTCATTTTTTGGTGTTGTGCAGTTAAGGCCTTTCCTAAAGATGATCCAGCAAAACCATGCAGGCTAACTTCTTTCCTGGGGTACAAAGCTGGGATGACCCATATTGTTAGAGAAGTTGAAAAACCAGGATCAAGTGAGTTTCTCCCCCGTCATGCATTATTATTACCTTTTGGGGTGTGTTCACGCTTTGCCTAAGATGATGGATGATCACGAATGGACAAAGTTGGAGAAATAAAATAAATAAAAAATGAGAACATTTCTGAATCTGTAAAACATTGCACTGAAGACATTATCTGTTTCTGTTCCCAAATTCTTATTCATGGACATGTTTAGAAATTCCATTTTCTCTTGAAGGATAAAATGGTACAACATCAATGGTAACCATAAGTTTGTTTCTTTTTATAATCTAATCTGTTCCTGGAACTTTTACACATTGTTTTTATGGTCCTGCTCCCTGTAACACTTGTTTTATTGCCACTTAAAGCCTGTTGAACTTAAAAAGGGGATCAGAAGTGGTGTGTGAAATACTAGAGATATCATTCTCAAACCTACTGAAATATAATGTACTGCAATGAATTTATACACGGGTGTTTTGTTGGTGGTGATGTGTTTGTATATATGAAATATATTGTACTGCAATGAATCTTATACGCAATGGTTTTGTTAGTGATGTTCTGTCAGTTGATCTATTTTCATTGGTTACTAATTCTCTCACCAGAGCTCCACAAAAAGGAAACATGATATATTTCCATTGTTTACTTGTTAAATTGAAATAATATACTGTCTTGCAATGAATCTTATATGCAAGGGTTTTGTTAGTGATGTTCTGTCAGTAGATCTATTTTCGTTGGTTACTTACTAATTCTCTCCAGAGCTCCACAAAAAGGAAACATGCGAGGCAGTAACTGTTATCGAAACACCGCCAATGATTATAGTGGGAGTGGTTGGTTATGTCAAAACGCCACGTGGCCTTCGCTGCCTGAGTACTGTATGGGCCCAGCATCTTAGTGAGGAGATAAAGAGGAGATTTTACAAGAATTGGTGCAAGTCCAAAAAGAAGGCTTTCACCAAGTATTCAAAGAAGTATGAAACTGAAGAAGGGAAAAAGGACATTCAGGCACAGTTGGAGAAAATAAAGAAGTACTGCTCTGTGGTTCGTGTTTTGGCTCATACCCAGGTATTTTCCACTTCCATTTCTTCTAGAAAATCTTTTCCCTTGCAGTTTAAAGGAAACTGTTACCTTTTTCTTGGATAGATAGGCTTATGGTGGCATGGAATTACAACTGTGCTTACAGTTGCATGTGTTTTGGTAATGGCCATTTTATATGTTTAGCATTAGAATTTCTCGTTTGATTCTCTCTTTTGTAGATTCGAAAAATGAAAGGCCTTAAGCAGAAGAAATCCCACCTGATGGAGATTCAGGTGAATGGTGGAGATGTTGCTAAGAAGGTTGATTATGGTTACAGCCTTTTTGAGAAGCCGATTCCTGTTGATGCTGTGTTCCAGAAAGATGAGATGATTGACATCATTGGGGTGACAAAGGGCAAGGGCTATGAGGGCGTGGTGACCCGATGGGGTGTGACCCGGCTACCCCGCAAGACCCACCGTGGGCTTCGGAAGGTTGCTTGTATTGGTGCCTGGCATCCAGCTAGGGTTTCATTTACCGTTGCCCGGGCTGGACAAAATGGTTACCATCATCGAACTGAGTTGAACAAGAAGATTTACAAGCTTGGAAAGTCTGCTCAGGAGTCTCATTCTGCCATAACTGAGTTTGATAGGTTAGGCTTCTTCTGCTCGTCATGGTTATTGTTATTTTGGTTTTATGTGTGTTACATTTACATTTTCGTTTTGGCCTGGAAACTCTAAAATTGCATCGACCGGTTAAAAATCATATCTGGGTAGTGGAAGCTACCATTCTTCCTCGACAAGTTGTGTTTCCTGTTTTGAGAGTTTGTGACCCTAACTTTTATGAAATGTGCTCCTGATATATCCTTAAGTAGAAACTTGGGATCATTCTTTAGCCTTTTTGATTTCGTGGGAAGATCAGAAATGGGATAGGATTATTTTCTGCTCTTTCGGTAGCATGTGACTTGAATATTAGTTATTAGATACTCGATTCCCAACTCCATAGTTTTAAAAATTATTTGCCTGAAAATTCTAGTTTAAGAGTTGAGAAGCATATTGCCGATGCCATTTGAAGATGTTTTTAACTCTCTTTTTTACTTTCATCCTTCAGGACTGAGAAGGATATCACACCAATGGGAGGATTCCCCCATTATGGTGTGGTGAAAGATGATTATCTGATGATAAAGGGCTGCTGCGTGGGTCCGAAGAAGCGTGTTGTCACCTTGAGGCAGTCTCTGTTGACACAGACATCGAGGGTTGCTTTGGAGGAGATTAAACTCAAATTCATTGATACATCATCCAAGTTCGGCCATGGGCGCTTTCAGACAACACAGGAAAAGGCCAAGGTCTATGGACGACTCAAAGCCTAAAGGACCAGAGATCATCATCCATGTTATCTCTACTGCATTTTGTTCCCAGTTTATGGCCGCCATTTTTGTCAATGAAGTCGAGAGCTCTCTTTTGTGTTTTAGATACCATTATTCTTCAATTTACGCTTTTGCTTTACCAGTTGCTACCCATGACCCTTTTTGATCGTCTATTTGCCCTTTGTTTTTGGTAAAACTTTTATTTCTATAATACTGATCTAGTATTGTTGCTGAACCTTTAATTATATTAAAGTTCTGGTTTGTTTTTTTATGCTGAGTTTGAGTTTTGATAATGTGTGTTTTTAAGCTATTAATGTTTGATTACTGGGCTTAGTATTCAACTCTACCCCCAAAAACCTGGATTTGTTATTTGCCTCTTCTTGGAGATAAAAGTATGCCAACATTCCACTTCCCTTTCGCAGGCAGACTCATCATTCCGAAGTACATATGCACCGTACAACAGGAAGGCTAAAGTGGTGGGTCAATACCTAGTGGTGGTGGGTCACAGCCTAGGGCAACTTTTGCCTTTTCTGATGTAAAATGTTATGTAGCTCACGTAATTTCTGTTATATCGGGTTTTGGAACCCATGTGAGTTACATCTTAAGTCAAAGCGGGTGAGATTTAAGTCCGTGAGGATGAGATGCCTAAAATCAGCCTGAGAAATTCAGGTCCGTGAGAATGAGATGCCTAAATTCAGCCTGAGAAATGGAAGTCCGTGAGAATGAGATGCCTAAAATCAGCCCGAGAGTTCTTTTAGATAAATCTAAGGCATAGAGCTATCCTAAAAATACTAGCGAGATGCCTAAAATCAACCTAAGAGTTCTTTTAAACAAATCTAAGTCAAATAGTTCTTTAAGATATATTTTAATCACATGGAGCGATGTCTAAAAGTCTAAAGACTTCAGAGTCTCCAAGTGGAGCGTGAGAGCGCCTAAGAGTTAAATGTTCAACTCAATTGCTCCTGGCACCTGGTAAAACTTTGTACTCAAAATTTTACGGTAAAATTTCACACCATTTTCAAATATGAATCTCGTACCATAAACTTTTTTTTTTTTTTTTTTTTTAACACGTCGTACCATAAACTTCACCATCATGGATTTTTAACACCATAAGTTTTAGTGCTTCACCACTTCTGCAATTTTACATGATGGATTTTACTATTCTTACTATTTCTATAGGTGAGTAAAAATAGGTGATCGAGGTGAAATTCACCATCCTGTGAATTTCACACAGCATGAAACTGAAATAATAATAATAATAATTTCTTGGAGAGGATTTTGATTCTTTGAGGTATTAATCTTCTAAAAGCCTAAAAAAAACACATATATAAAAAGAAGCAAAGCTTTCAATGTACTCCCTCCATCTCACAATCGTGTTAGTTATACAAGTAATTATTATTTAAAAAAAAAAAAACAAATTTTATATAAGTAATTATTTACTTTCCTTATCTTGTCTTGCAATAGTATTATATTTCTCCCATTTTCCTGTAGGAACTCTTATGCAATTTAACAAAAAAAAAAAAAAAAATTTCTCTTAGGCACTAACAGAGGCTGATCAGACTGGTCCCGTGGGCTCTAGAGAATTGTTGGTAAAATGTTGGGAAAGTGAAAGGTTGCTTCAGTTGGAGATACTTGTGTTGAGAAAGGAAAGGAAAAGGAAAAGGAAAAGGAAAAGGAAAAAAATAAAATAAAATGATTCCATCTATTTTTTCAACACTTGCTTTAATGTCCTTTCTTGTCATGGGTCCCTTCTCTTTAGGAGAATGTCTTATATGGATATATAGAAAACTTGCATTCTTTTGTTGAGGTGACCCCAATGCATGAAGCCATAAATTGAGCTTGTTAAGTCAAGAATGAATAAGCAAAAGAAGAAAGAAAAAACAAAGAAAAGGGTCACCAACTAATGATATCCTTATGTGAGAAATCATGAAGTGGGTATGTGTCTATGTTGTGCGTGTGTGTGTTGGGAGAGATGGTAATTAGAAGGTGAATGCCATAAATTTTTAAATCATTTCATTTTTTCATTTAATTTATGTTTTGGGGTTAAGATCTAGGCTAAATGCATTCTATTTGGAAAATCTTGTTTGTCCATGTTAGCCTTTCGTTCTCTTTTTTTTTTTTTTTAACTCAGAAATTCTCTGGGTAACAAAATATACACATGAGCTGTTTGTAAAAAATGAAATGATGTGTTTGAAATAGGTTTGGATAGGCTTTCACATCTTTCTCAGACATGGTGATTGTCTTGTTGACAAAGGGTCCTCACTCAATGCATTGGAGGGAAAGAAAAAGTTCTCTCTCTCTCTCTCATTGCTTTTTAATAATTTATTATCAATTATTACTTTTCATTTCTTTTCTAGAATATTTGAAAGAAAACTGGCTTAATGGTTGTTCTTTTTGTATGTAATTCAGTTAGTAACGTATAATCTTTATTGTTAAGACACAGACTTAGCAATTAATTCAGGTATTTGCTTTAGTGTCTCTGACAAAAGTTTTGTGGGTTCTTATCAACAGATCTTTTAAGGGGAAAATTGAGGAATAAACATGGTTGTGGTCTACATCACCTCCTTTTTCTAGCTCTTGCTTCTTTTTGTAGCACACCCATTTCTTTCTTCACTTGAATCATGGCTCTTCTGGTATTGCATAGCTGTAAGATATCCAACATTGATTCTCTCTCTCTCTCCCTCTATCTCTCTCTTGTTTTATGTATTTTCTATGTGAAATTAGATCACACACCTATTGATTTCCACTGCAATAAAGAAGTTTGAAACATATAGATTAGTACTTTGAAGCAGGCTTTGGTTTTTTAAGTTCATATGGCAGCTTTCCTTTTCTTTTCTATATTCAACTGAGTAGGAGATAATGTAATGCACTCCACCTGTTCAATGAATTGCTCTTAATGGTCTTGCCGGGTTTCTCCGGGTCGGACAGTAATGCTAATTGACCTAATTTGTTCACATAATGCATGCTCTTAACCATAAGCATTCTTTGAGGAAATCAGCTTTGTGCCTAATACATATATTGATCTATAAAAGTTAATATTGATTGCTATATAATTATGCAAACTCGTTTCATTATAAGAGATTAGGAAATCATAAGTTTAGGTCACTCCCAATTGGGGTTCAAATTCAATGTGTTCATTCTGATTAGTAGGTTGGTTCAGAAGTTGCCAACTCAATTTAATGTTATAGTTTAAAAGTGAATGCTTTTAGAAGTATTAATAGGACAGTCTTGGTTTTGCCTCCAGACAGGAAGGCCCATACTTTAGATTTCTTTGAGTTTGCTTCTCCAGACAAGGTATAGTATTTATTAAGTTAGGCATCAAGATCATGAACACCAAGACATTAAAAAAGGTGTCTACTGGGATTATCATATATAACTTTGTCTTTACATTTTATTATTGGGTATAAAGCTTTGCTAGGCTGGCTTCATCCTTTAAACAATGCTTTGTGTAATGTGGGTGTGCATTGTTCTTCCATGACAGGTACTCTGTAGAATAGGAAGAAGATAACGAGTCCTCCTGCTTCCCGTGATAAAAACCGAAGGCCTTACAGATAATCCTAAGAACAGGTTTGTTTATATTGCTTTTATCATAATTAGTCATTTCTATTACTTCAACAAATGCCATTTGAACTTTTGCAAGAGCCTTGCGAGTTTGTTGTTTTGAATCCTTTTTAGAAGTGACTGGCATTTTGTGTGTGTTGCTTTTGTGCTTTTCCACTTCCTGCTTTTGAAAAACTAAAGATTACAAGGCATCCACACTCACATTCTGCTTTTGAATTTACACGAGTCATTTGTCAATTTTCTTTCTCGTTCATGAGCTTCTCATGACTGGAAATCACGTATAAGTACCGGGCTGTAGAGACTGGATTGAATTCAAACTCGGTGAGAGGAGATTTTCCGACTATGAGCATCTGTTTAAGAGAAATGGTGAGTTCTAGGTGAAACACATAATCGATCAATGTTAAAAGGAGAACCAATTTAATCCAGTTAGCCGGTCATCTTATATCAGTAAATGTAGCTAATTTTGTCAGCTTTCTTAACCTGTAGCAACTGTGGATGCTCATTTTCGTTTGCTTTTCATTTAATTTTTCATTTTCCCTAAGGAATGATTGGAGAACCCACTCAAAATAGGGAAAAAATTCATCCTATTTGTATATATTACACTAAACTTGAATCTAAACAGAAGATTTGGAATATTTGAATTTGCCTCTTTGATCTTATGTATGGTACTGTAAATTAGGATTTTTATGAATACTGCTTTTCTTTTATAGGCTATGAATACTGCATTTTTTTCCCCTTATGTTTGCTTTTCTTTTGGCAGTGACTATCCCAAAAGATTAGTTGTGCTTTTCAATGCCACAGATAATGAATTGGGAAGATTTAATTTTCATATTTTTTAGGTTGCCACTGAACATATTAAGTGTTTCAACCACTCAGGCAATTTCATCATCAAAGCCCATTTTTATTGCAAAACTTCAGCCAGATTTCAGGCAAATGTGTCGCTAACGTCCCATCATAGTGGCACTATTTGAGATCCAATGTCCAAACTAGAGACAGGTTTCAGTCACACACTTTAACATCCAAATACTCTTCGGCTAGTGGACCAAACAGTCTTACATTTTCAGGTCCACTAGCCGAAGAGTAATTGAAGCAGTCTTATATTATTTCCGATTCTCAGATCCTAAGCAGCTCTCATTTCTCCCCTTTTTGAGATTTGAAGTGCCTTTTAGCCGGGTTCTGACAGCATTTAGGGGTAATGTAAACTTCTGGTTCTACATTTCTATTCAATCTTGAGTTTTACTTGTTTTCACTTGGTTTTAGACAGACATAAGTTGAAGATTGGGGAAGTTGGGATGGGTGACAATTTGTAATCAAAATTGGGAAGTGTGTCGCAAGAATAATATGGGAAATGTAACTTGAAGAAACACTTCGGAGATGAAGATAAATTTTATGGGATATGTGTCAAAATGGATAAGATAGTTGATATTTTCCATTAACTGCAATTTAAAGTTCCATCTGCAGAATGCAAATCATGATGTGTTTTCAAAGAGCATATAAATAAATTTTTCCGTCATCCACAGAATTTGAGACAAGTTGTTGGATCCTTTTTAGGGATTCAAGAGATGTCATCATTTAGATCGTCTTTTGTGGAGAGTGAAATTCTTTGCATTGCATCCAAATTTTTTTTTGTAACAGCTGCATTTTGAAGATTGATTTGGAAATGATCAATAACAAAATGGAAAATTTAATTTTATGGGATGCCCACACAGCTCTTAAATAATGCTTCTATTTTCTTTTCTTTTTTTCTTTTTTTTTCCCCTCAACTTTTAAGCACATCTACTGTAATCATGGCATATTGAAGTTTTCAATGTATTACCGTCTTGATTATTTTGCTTGCTGGTTCTTTCCTCGCAGAGTGACCAACAGAGAGGAGCACATCCGTAATCTTTGAAGAACCAATAGTTGCATCCATGTTTGAATTAGTTCCCAATCTTTAGTTGATTATCAACACAAACAATTCAATTGCTAATTCTCTTTTGCCTCGAAGCAAACTATGAATGATCTTAATTCTGAAAATTCAAAGCCATGGAACATCTATACCAGTTCAGACCCAAGCCCATCTCAGACAGGAGTTGATCGTGAAGCTCCATGGAAAAATTTTGGCACGTCGATGAATGCTCTCTCTTTTGGCTTTGTTGCCACGGCAATCTTAATTTCGATGTTTCTTATCATGGCCATCTTTGAACATTTGTTTAAGCCAAGTCCTTCTTTCTCTTCCCCACAAGATGGAAACCGCAGATCACTGGAATCAAGATCAATGGAGAAACTTGGAAATCCACAAGCAGTAAGTCTCCACCTTTATCACTCTACAAAATTTTAATTCAGTTCTTATTTGAAAATTTCTCACTATGCTTTAGTATTTAAATAACAAAATGCATCTCTTTTTATTATTCCCTTGTTGTATCTAAGTTTCTCTTTATTTGTAATCATACTATTAGAATATGATAAGTACTAGTTACTTTGATCCAAGATAACCAAATTACACTTCTTGATTATGTTGAAACAGCCTACAAGTGATTCAGAAAACACCCACTTCTTTTCTTAGCCCTAAAGACCAATTATTGCTTTTGCAGACTCATAAGAGACATTGATTGGAAAGAAATGACATTTGAAATCAGATGTTTGGAGAAAATTATTCTTCCATAAATTTACTTTATTTATTTATTATTTATTTTTTTGAAAAATATTCTGTCATTTTCTACAAACCGTCTTAATGAATAGATTGAACAAAAGTTTTACACTTTTTTCTTTGGCTTCCTCTCTACCTCTTTTTCATGTCTAAATTGTATCTTCTTTCTCCCATAGTTCTATTAATTAAATTAGAGTGGAACACTTGCTTTATCGAAAAGATTTACGTATCATTTTTGCTCAAAAGCAGCCCTTGTGTGAAGAGAATCTTAGCAAAGTTAAAGACATATAGCAAGTATTAAAACAAATTGAAGAGATAGGTGCCATTGGAGAAACAATAATTAAATCATTCTTTGTTTTTTGTTTACTTTATTTAAACTGGTAATAATATTGTGGTCTTTGTGACAGGTTTCAGCACATTATTCATCAGACTTCTCCGTGTTGATGCCGGGACAGCGCTATCCAACCTACATTGCCCAACCTGCTCCTCTCCCCTGTCCAAGGGAAGGGGTTTATTGGCCACCCCATGAACATAATCTTGTCCCACCTTAGGCTGTGATACTTGCATTTAAGCATCTACTATTGTTGCTTGTACTTTTACAGAAGAATTTAGTAGTATCACTATTATATCCCCTCTCTCTTTAAGTACTTTTATCCCTAATCAACCTCTATAGAGAATGTATTACCGGGCAAGATGTTGAGTGGTTACCTGAAAACAGATATATATATATATATATATATATATATATATATATATAGACACACACACACATATAGACAACAAAAATGATAAAATTGGACTTATAAGTTCAACATTTTGTTGGAACAAATAAGTCAAATTCACCTCCAAGATATAACAAAACCGAGTCTAATGGATTCTATTGCCAATGTTGTGTGGGAAGCGCCTTGCACGGGTTCCGTAGATTAGTCGAGGCAAATCCCTGGACACTGGTTACCGAAAAAAATAAAAACATTCCTTCAAATAGGAAGTTGGTTGAGAGTTCCCCTCAAGTACCTCTCTGAAAACTACCCTCCAACAGAATAGGAGGAGGTTGAGAGTTCCCTAAAGGACGCCTACACCCTACACACATTCCACCATTTTCCTCTACAACGCATCTCTCTTAAAGCCATTTTTCTAGCTACCCAAACGAGTCATTGTTCCTTCTCCAATCTCTGATTGCTACCGGTACCGGGATGGACATGAAACAAGTTTGCAAGCTAGAGAAGGTACTCTTAACAAGAGTAAGCCTATCTATTCTAGACGATACAAATACTGTCTCTTCCATCCTGTGAGTTTCTAAACTTTCCACCATTGATTCTCATACTCCATTCCTCTACATCATCCATAACCTATAAGTTCCCTAAAATGCGAATTCGATATGATCATAAACCTTCTCAATGTCTAATTTGTGTATACTATTGGATTATTACTTGTGAGTCTTGAATCCACGAACTCATTGGCACAAGGATGGATCCAAATTTTGACTACCCTCAACAAAATCATTCTTAGAATCTAAAATAGTAAGGTCCGTAATTTATTTCAAATTAATGGTTTGTCACAGTCTTGGCTAAAATTTACTCTCAAATCCTTCAACTTTTGTTGTTCCCTCATTCTTTGAATAAAAGTTGATGAATGAGGCATGAGGGGTTTCTCAAACTCTCCAAACTAATGGAAGTAGTTCAATGCCAACATGACATATTCTCCCATTCCACACCCAACAATGTTTTAAAAATACCATCATCATCATTTCATCTGAACCTGTTGAGGCTTTTTAAACTTCTTTAACCTCATCTAAAAATGGCCCTCTGCAACCAAATTCAATCTTTTTAATGGAGCTTAGCTAGAGGGAAAAAGGGCAGCTCAGCGAACGGGACTTCCGCCACTACAGAATTTGGAAGAGCCAAACAATAATTCTGTGAACAGTTTATTTTTTATTTGAAATTCACGATTTTCAAATCATAGCGTAGCAATTTTATAATTTTATCGTCACACACGAGCCTGCCCTTCGAAGGGCAGCTTAGCTCAAGGGCCGCGTGTGAATTCAAAATTCAAGTGGACTAGACAACACTACTATTGAAAAATAAATTTTGACTTAAAAGGGATCTGTTTTATAACAGAATATTCTATGATAACTAATAAGGTGAGGTCACAACATTCATTTTGAGTGAAAAATTTATCAATGATCACCAATGACAATTTGATAAAATTAAAAATTAAGTACTGAATTTTAAATACTGAATGTATTAATTTGAAAATCTGTTTGATAACGTTTTAATTTTAAACGCTGAATTCATTAAAAAAAATTATTATATACAAAAACTGAAGTCTGAAAGTTGAACATATTACATTTTTACCCTCAACATCCGATACTCATAACATTTTATATTTATAATACAAAAATATTAATAAAACAACCACATCCACTCAATGAAATAAATAAATATGAAAATTAAAAATATATGGATTTTGTATTACATAATATTTATGTATGGTATTGAAAAGGGTGTTACAAAGATTAAAGCAAGTAAAATTTAAAATATAAGAATTTTGGATTGAATAATATTTAGGTAGGGTATTGAAAACAGTGTTACAAAGATTAAAGAAAATACTTGAAAAATACCTTATTTAGGAATAAAATTTAGTTATATAAATAATTAATGGAGATTTTAAATTTATGGGTTTTGGATTACATAATATTTATGTAGGTATGGAGTTACAAAATTAAAGAAAGTAAAATTTAAAATATGTGTTTTGAATTACATAATATTTATAAGGGTATTGAAAAAGGTGTTACAAAAATTAAGGAAAGTGAAAAAGAATTCTTATCTAGGAACATAATCTTATTATATAAATAATTAATAAAAATTTAAAATATATAGGTTTTGGATATCAAAAAGAATGTTACAAATTAAATAAAGTAAAATTTAAAATATATGAGTTTTGGATTACATGGCAGGGTATTGAAAAGAGTGTCAAGAAAGTACGCGAAAGACAATTCTTCTATGAGAATAGAATTCTATTATATAAATAATTACATAATATTTATGTAGGGTATAAAAATGGTGTTAAAAATATTAAACAAAGTAGGTGAAATTGTATAGAATTATGTTATATAAATAATTGTTTTCTATAGTTAATCAATATGAATGGTAACCAAAAAGCTATATCCGTGTTTAAAATATATTAGGTAGAATTATGTTTTTTATTTTTTTGGAATTTGTTCCATGTAATTCATTTTCATTAGTAATAACAAGCAACCAAATATATATGAATCAATTTAAATGTAACCAAAAAAGGCTATATGTCAATGTTTAAAATATTATAGGTAAAATTGTTCTATCACCTTATTAAATTGTAGAGAGGCCCTAGAGAAATCGAGGAGAGAAACTCTAAAAGAGAGAACGCCGATTATATGAGAGTAGAGTAGTCATCAAAAAATTATTTTTTACACCCAACCACTTACCGTCTTCTGCGATAAGCAGATAAATAACCTTCCCCCACTTAAAATATTAACCTCTTTTAAATAGTACTTATCATGTTAAGCGGTGTTTATCAAACAAACTTAATTTCAAAAATCACTTACTGTGTTCTACATTCAACACTTAATCAAACAGCCCCTCTTAAGTGACTTGTATTTCAAAATAAAAGATCAGGGTTAATACATATGAATGATTTATCAAAGTTAATCATATTTATTCGGAACAAATTTCATAATATTAGCGTTAGACATTCAAATTTTAGAAGTACACTAACGAGCACCATGACTAATGACAAATTATAACATAAGTTGAAACGATAAATTTGTTCGGGTTACTTTAAATTCATAAAATAAGGTGCATTGTATCCACAAAACAATAGATAAATTCAAAAAAATCTGATATTGTCTTGAATAATTAAATGAATGATTATGAACTCAGCATTACATATATTTATAACGGAAGAAAACCCTAATTCATAAGAAAACTAATCGCAACACGAATTTGAAATTTAATTCCGAAAGGATACTAATACTCGAAAATAAGCTTTAAAATAAAGTTTCTTTAAAAATTCTATAAAAATAGAGGAAGGAATCTAATCAAATAAAACTACTAAAAACAATTCCGAAATATCCGACAAGCTTCTTATAGGATAGAAAACCCGTTTTGAGGCCTTAAACGATGAAAATTTGCAGAAAAACGGTTACATCACACCAAAACAGTGAATTTTGCAACATGCCCATTTGCCTCCTAAAAATCCAAACGAGCCATAAAGGCTTCAAAGTTCTACATCAAATTGCAGAAAAAGACATAGGCCCGTTTGACACAACTTTTGCTTCTGCATTTAGGCAGTAGCAGAAGAAGAGAAGCGGAAGCAATAGCTTCTATATAGCTTATTTGTCGGTACATGAGACCCGGTTACAGCAGATAGACATCAACATGTAGCACGACATCATCAACTTGAACACCTGCATCTCTTAAAGATATAGCATGGGTAGCACATACAACAAAATTGTGATACCCCCGAATTTCCGAATGTGGGTTGGCTAGGCCCACGCCCGAATACCCGAGGATATCAAAACAAATTGATAATAAACGAACACAGAGTACAAAAGAATAAAGAAGAATAAATAAAATGCTGACAAGAAACTAAAATGATAATCTAATAATAAACCTCATAATATATTTCCATTAATTAATAAACTCTTCTGATAAAACTGATCCTCCAAAATACAACTCGGGAATCTATACTGTGTGGACCCCTAGAAAATCCAAACTAAACAAATGACAGTATTCTAAAACGGGAAACTGAATCATAAAGGAACTCCTATGTAGCATCGGAAGAATGAAGTAGATTGATCCTCGCTCAGCACGAACAACCTCTACTCGTGACGAACACCTGAAAAACAATGGTGGGTCAGGCCCACAAACAAGTTCTACTCTACTACAGTCCAAGCAGAGATCCGATACACGTATACATCCTAGTCAATCCAACAGTAACTAGTAGTCCGTATATATATATACACACACTAAAGGAACCTCACTAGACTATAGGGTTGTCTCAACCTGAATAGTAGGCAACATGCAAAACGCACATATAGTGGGCATGAGTACCTAGACCTACCAGGGTACACAACTACACTATATCTAGCTACACATCCCTGGCGATATACGCACCCTAACCACTGATCCTGAGACTCAAGCTCATATCATGGCAGCATACTTATATATATAAAATCTAGTGACCATCCTATCCAGTATAAATTAATCCTCCATAAGTCATTCAACTTGTTCAGCTGACCTGACTTGAATATAAGTAGGACTTAATATTTTAGTTAATCCATTCCCTTATATAATAAATTAATCCTCTATAAGTCATTCAACTTGTTCAGCTGACCTGACTTGAATATAAGTAGGACTTAACATTTTAGTTAATCCATTCCCTTATATAAAATAGGTAGGACTTAACTGATAAGTTAATCCGTCCCTAGAATGCCACCGTCCCATACCGGTGTATTAAACCACACAATCCAACAATTGATGTAATAATTAAAGAAATATATCAAACATTCCAGAAATAACTATGATAATATGATATCAAGTTATCACAGAATATGAATGACTTATTATTTATTTAAGCTCATATATCATATGTCCTACACAAACTGAATCTTATACATGATGATATTTTATTATATCGTCAAATAAGCATTCTCCATATCCAATTCATCCTACACATTTATTCTCAATTGCTAAAGCATTTTAAAAGATTAAATCCATTCGTTTGTGTAAACATTTAAATAGCAAGCATCGTTATGATTGAGTGTATTTAAATTTATTTAAACCCAAACCTAGTCCCTATTTAATGTTCAGGAATCCTAGGCATGTTTCTACGTTCCATCATTCCACATATATGAAAAATACATAATTCAAACATATAAAAATTCACACCAGAAATCAAATCAAAATCATGCATTTTTTAATTTATAACACAAGAACAGATATGACCCAATTTCACAAAAACCTTTACTTTAATCCAATTAAACATGCATAATTATTTAATTTTATGTGTTTAGTATATCCTGGAATTTCCTAGGCATGTACAGAAACACGAATCAAAGGGAAAGAGATAGAAGAAGAACTTGCTTTAAACTTTCGGATTGAAAGTTAAACTTCTTCTTCCTTGATCTTCTCTCTAAAGGGTTTTCTCCTCCTTCCTCCCTCTTTCTCCTTCTCTCTCTAACTCTCTCTCTAGAATATATTACGTGATATATTTTCACTCCTTTTTCAACCTATAGTTGTGTATTTATAGGCTAAATAATAACCCTATTCCTTTTCCCAATCCAAGTCAACTTAATAAAAAAAAATAAAAATAAAAATATTAAAAAGGTAACTTAAAATATGTTACATATATAATCTATGTATATCCTTATTAATTAAATAAAATATATATATTAGATTATTTAGTAATACTAAAGTTACCATAATATTAAAAGGTAACTTAAAACATGTTAAGTATATAATCTATCTGTATTCTCATTAAATAAATAAAATATATACATCAGATTATTTATTTATACTAAAGTTACCATAATATTAAAAAGGTAACTTAAAATATATGTATATCCTTATTATATAAATATATAAAATATATATATCAGATTATTTATTAATACTAAAGTTACTATAATATTAATAAATTACTTTCCTTTTTATATATATGTATATACATATATATATCTATATATATACATATACAACTATCCATGGATAATTATCCATACCCATCCAACCTCCTATCCAAGCAGTCCATGGGATCCAATTGGTTGGCCAATTACCACTAACCATAACCATAAAAGAAAAATAAAATAAAATAATAAAAGAAATGAAAACATTTAATTTACAATTAATTAACATTAATCAAATACATCATTTAAGCACACAATCTAATTAAACAAATAATACAAATAATACCTGGACAAAATACAAATAACACATAGATAAGTAACCAATTAATCAAGTAACACTTAATTCAATTAAACACATAAACAATTAGTCAAATAATCAATTAAACAATTAAAAAAAATATAATAAAAAATAAATAAATAAATACCGAGACTATCCATTTAAAATTAGGGGTATTACAAAAATCCACCAGAAGTGACTGGATCCCATACTCCGTATTAACAGGACTCCGGGAAAGCTGAACAATAGCATAGTCCACCTCGTGCCTCTGTCTATAAACAGAGGGAACCCAAGCCGAGGGGATAACCTGTAGTATCTTACGGATATCATCGAAAGAAAGAGGAAAACCAACAAGACATGAAATAAGGTTACCGCAAAGCAACAAGACACCACTGTCGATAAATCGGTCATAACTACCAGCATGACAAAGCCTGTGTAAACCTGACAAACATTTTCGTCGCCTCCAACATACAAAGTAGCTGAAGATAAGACAGTCTGGACACACCGCAACTGTAAGAAACCTGGAGGAACCCAACGCAAATCCGCCGGATGGCCAAGAGAGTCTGTAGAAGAATGCACTTGCTGCGCAACGAAAATGATATCACGGCCAAAGAGGATGTAATCCACCAAACCATTCAAAACCATAACCACTTATGGGCTTTCATTAAATGGACCACACACTATAATACCCACCACAAGCGGACCAACAATTAAACAACACTCAGCATGGGTCTGCACAGGCCCAAGAAGCGACCACAAAGAGTACAAGACATTGGGTTTGGGCTGAAGATAACAAATAGGCCCATCTAAGGTCATTAGTAGGAACGGAGCACAAAATATCTCAGCCTTTGCGTTCCCTGCACGCAAGGAAAACAGGTGATGTAACGTGGACCCCATTGGCAGACCATGTGCTGACCAAAAGATGACACGTAGCCGATGCAGCAGAAAATCAAAGACGGTCGTTGACCCAAAAGAGAGCGGCGACTGGAAGGAAATCTCCACCGCCTCATCGTCAACAGAAAAAGGAAGACAGCAAACCAAGAAATCTGAAACGCAAAACACATAGAAAGAAAATTAACACTAACATAAATACACAACAACTTATAGCGAAACTCAGATCAAAAGGAAAATTTTGCACTGATAGGTCAGCAATTCGTCCAAAACGTAAAACCCTTTGCGTTACATCCCGCTGTGCACATTTTCCTTTCCGGCGAGGATAGAAATAAATACCCGAGAGCATCATAAAGGAAACCATCAGGATCAAAAGACCTATGACAGAAACGATCCAAAGGAAACACCTAAAGAAACGATTTACAAACAGACCCGAGACAAGGAAAGATAAGAAAGGAAAAAGAAAACGGACCAAGTTGGAATCCAAAATAAACCACTCCGACAAGCAGATAATCCCTTAATAAAAGAGGAACCCCAAAAGCACAAGCAGAGTACAAAGCTGGTTCATTGGAAAGACACAACACCAAAGAAACCCAGAAATGTTGCAACAGATGTCACGAGGAATGAACAAACACCAAAGAACCCAAAATGAAAGAATATGTTATCCCTTTCATTATACATTCAATTGTGTTATCATGGTATTTTCGGAACCTAAAATGAAAGAATATATTGCAGTCCACTTCATTATCAATCTATGATAGATTATTGATTCTTAACTAGTCAATGCTACAATTGTCACTCTAATTAGTTTTTAATAAAAATTCCTAGTCAATAATAAATAAAATTGGAGCTTATATCCTCTTTAAGTGTTTAAATCAATATATATATATATATATATATATATATATATATATATATATTAGCACAATTTAAATCAATTAATAATTGACACAATAGTTAGTCTAATAATAATGGGGAAGGATATATTAAATTATTGTACTACTAATTACAAAAAATAAAATAAAAAAGAATTTCAATTACGGACAAATTTATTGTACTAATTCTAAAAGGGTCAAGTGCAGAAAATATCACTAAAATATATTTCACACCTCTCACGTGCACAAAATACCTCTAAAGTTTCAATTTGGTGCAAATAGGTCCTTAACAAATTTAAACTCTAAATTAACTAAATGACACTTACTTAACTATTTTATAAAAAATATAAAAATAAATAATTTTGTAAAATGGCCAAAAAGGACACTATTGGAGGATGTACCTCCGTACAAAAAACACTCCTAAAGTTTCAATCTGGTACAAATAGGTTCCTCTGACAAATATAAACCCTACGTTGACTAAATTACCCTTAAGGAAATATTTTATAAAATATGTAAAAATAAATAATTTTATAAAATGATTGAAAATGACACTAGTGGAGGACATCGGCAATGGACAAGTTAAGATAAAAATATAAAATAAAAAACAAAAATAAAGTACAAATTAAAGAAAATAAAAATTTTCCAAACTTCGAAAACCAGTGCACACTAATATTAGGATTTTTATTTTAACAGTGTTGGTACGAAAAAATAAAATAAAATAAAGAAAAAAAATTTAGTAGAAAAGAATAAACTGAAATGTCGAAAAATTTAAATCCTTGTTTTAAAATTCTCAAAGTTAAAAAAAAAAAAAAAAAATAGAGAAAAGGTAATGTACACATAACACCCTTATATTATGAGATTAATAACATATATATACCCTTGGGCATTTTTAGAAGAGTAAAAGGCCAAAACATGTATTACAACACTAATTTATGTCAGAGAGGTATTTTTGTACAATGTGAAAAAATTAAAGGTGCTTTTTACACACTTTTTTAAATAGGGAGTAAATGTGTTACGCGAAATATACTTTAGAGGTGTTTCCTATACTTGTCCCGTTCTAAAAAAAATATGTATAAATTGTCTCTTGATATATATTTTTTGGTCTTGATTCTTAAACCATTCTGGATCAAGATTTTTTTCACATTTATTATTATTTTTTTATCAAAGATTTTCCCTATTTATTTGAAATTTTAGCCCCAAAAAATGCAGAAACCGTCGTTAACTACAAAATAATAAAATAAAATAAAATCTATGACCTATTTAACTTTGCAAAGCAACCACCATTTATGACACTATAAAATTAGTGTCCTTGTTTAATGAAAAAAAAAAAAAAAATTTCCTCCATGAACCATTAAATTGGCGAAAAGATTTGCAATATATGCACATACTATACATATATATATGTAGGATTTCAATTCCAGGGCATAATGGATTTCGTTTTTTTTTTTTTATAAAAAAATAACAATAAGAAGAAAAATAAAATGAAAAGAAAAATAAAATTTGAAGGAAACAAATTACAACACGATTGAATAAACGAAATTTAACCTTTTTTAAAAGGTAATTAAAAAAATTTAAAGAGTAAAAGAGAAAAAAATTTAAAAAGTTTAAGAGAATTTTGAAAACTAATAATTTTAGGGGCATAATATACAAATTTTTATGCATATAATAAAAAATAAAATAAAAATCATATATATTATATTAGGCGGGGCCAGGTTAGAGGAAGGCACACATGTAAGGCTGCAATTTGGGCGGGTTTGAGGTATAACTTGAACCCAACCCATTATATGAAATGTTAAATCCAATCCCAATTCAACCCTATTTTCAACCCGAGCCTAACTCATCCTTCTACTTTTAAATTTGGGCTTACAATTCGGGCTTAGATTCTATGTTTAAAATTGGGGTGAATTCGAGTTACTCATATAGATAATCTTCACATCAAAAATTTAATATGATCTTGAATTAGTTTTAGATTAAATTATTCTTTAAAAAAAAAAAAAAATTTAAAGACATTTTATAAATTTTGAATAAATTACAAACAAATTACTAGAAAATTAATTATCTTAAATGTTAACATACAATAAGTTAAAATTTAATAAATGAAGTTGAAAAGAAGAAAAGTAATCGTAGTTTAAATATTATATATAATGTATTTAAAAATAATATTAGAATTCGGGTTCGGTTTACTCGGATTGCTAATATCTCAACCCAAGTCTAATTCTAATTAAATTCGGGTTGAGATTTTTTAACTCATACCCAACCCTATTTGTAAAAATAATTGTCCAAGCTCATGCTAAATCGAACGAACTCGAGTTAGGTTCGGGTTGCACATCCCAAATTGCACCCCTACGCACACGACTCTGCCCCTAATATACATTCATAACAAATAAAAATGTCTATATTCATAATATTGATGAATAACTCAATTGTAAATTTTTTTTTTTTTTTTAAGTAAAATGAATAATTTAATTTAGCAATGCAATATACTAGTGTGTGTATATATATATGTATATATTAGATGGCCTTTTAAACTCAATGCGCTCTCAAAATAAGGCACTCCAATGGACTCTCAAAAGACCTATCATATTTTGAGATTCTCAAATATAGCAGCTCTCAAATAAGAGCATCTCCAATGGTAAAAGCTATTTTCAGCTGCCAAATCTATATTTTGACAGGTGCTACAGTGCTACATTTTCGCAATTATGCTCCAATAGTTCATTTCATACAATATGCTATTTTTTAACACAATCACTATTCTTTTTCAATTACCATTCCCACCATTCATATTTGCATCAGTAATATTAATATTAGGCACATTCCAAATCAAGTTGTAGACTTTAGAATGAAACTAAAATTAAGCCTAATTAAAAAGAAACAAAAATTTGAAATATCTGGTCAAAAAAGGACCAATATATATATATATATATATATATATATATATATATATATGTATAAATTTATATATTTGATTTTTTTTTTCGAAAATTCATATTATATATATATATATATATATATGTATATTATATATATTTGAGTATATTATTATTAAATATATATATATATTTTTAGGGCAAATCATTTCAGCCTCCCCAATTGCCTCCATCTTTATTATCGTTCTCAACTCAGAACTCCCCCTCTCTCTATCTCTCTCTCTACAACTACAAACTAGAAAATCTATAAGAATCAGAAGTTGAAAACCCATAGATTTCAGTTTATCTATCTGTCTGCAAGAATCAAAAGATCAAAACCCATATCGGCATATCATTTCAGATTGTTCAAAAACCCATACCTTTCAGTTTACATTGCCTGCTGTTCCAGTTTGGGTTCGCCGTTCGCAAGCTTCAGCCGCTCTCTCAACTCTTAAGCTTGGCCTCTCTCTCTCTGCAACTGCTAAATTGTATGTATTTTGTTTAATTTGTTTTTTTTCTCTCTCTCTCTTTACAACTGCTAAATTGTATGTATTTTGTTTTGTTTTAATTTTTTTCCTATCTCTCTCTCTCTCCGACTGCTAAATTGTATGTATTTTGTTTTAATTTTTTTTCTAAATCAACAAATCAACAAATCAAGGTCTGTAATTCTTGTTTTGTTTTGAGAGAAAATTTGAGATTTTCAAATTTTGAGAGGCCAAATGAAAGGCCATTGGAGACCCTTTTTTTCACCATCTCTCAAGTTAGAGGTTTGAGAGCCCAAAATAGAAGAGCATTGGAGATACTCTAACCTCTTAAACTAAAAATATAGAAAGTGGAAAAAGTTGCTAAAATGAAAATAAGGCACTCCAATGTCTCTCAAAATATAAAATGATTGTTATGTAAAAAAAAATAACATTTTAGAAGAGATACACCATTGGAGCATAATTTTAAAAATATAACATTTTAACAATGTAACACCTTTCAAAATATAAATTTAACATGAAAATATAACATTTTGGAGGAGAAATGCTCTAGCAAATTATAAACTGCGCTGTTACTAAATATGTTAATTTTATTTATTTATTTTTAATTACGTGGTAGTCTGTAATAGGTCCAATCACGTTATGGAATTAATTTCCCTCAACTCACGAACTGGACGATTTTTTTTTTTCACACGACCTGGACGATGACATGGCAAGATTTGGAAGGAACGACCAACAGTAAATCGTATCAACTCCTTCAATTTTTATTTGAGGTAAATCTCTCCAATTTGCGCTCTCTCAAATTCTCTCTTACTGTTTCTCTCTCTAAAAGTATCACTCAGTTTTCGCCGTTATATAGATCTAGTCTCACTCTGATCAATTTCTTGTTAGTTTTCTCCATCTCCGTTTCAGATCTAGAGCTTTCGATTCAATCTTTTTCTTTTCTTTTTCTCAGTTTCCAATCAAAATCGCATTGGGACGAAGATCAGCAGATTGGCCAAATCTCCGGTTAGGGTTTCTCTTTTATTCTTTAATTTGTGAAATCAGCCTCAGTTATGATCTGCATTGCTTGGATCTATATATTCGGGATTATATGTGTGTGTGTGTGTGTGTGCATGTATGCATGCTTATGTTTATATAGATTCCTTCTCGTGGAATCGGTTGTGCCTCATTTAGTTTATGTTTGCCAAATTTTAATTTGCTCTTGTTCTCTGGAATACAGATTTCTTGCTGCTTTCTAAACGGTGATTTTCGGATTTTGATTTGGTTAAGATGGTAATCATTATGTTGACTCTATTCTTTGATCTTCTTGGGTGGAAACTACATATTGTAAAATTTATATAACTTGGATTATCAGTATTTATGGTTGTCTTTTTATTGCATTTTTAAATTAATTAATTAATTAATTTTTTTTCTAACTAATTATTCTATTTGTTTGTGATGTAGGTTGTACTTGCAGCTTCTATTATAAGTAAATCGGGCAAAGGTGAATTCACTAATTATTTCATTTTCTTGAAATAATTTGGAATTTGCATTTTTTTTCTTATTGATGTTATATCCGTCACTCTAACAAAGAAGTGAAACGAAATCTGTAAAGTTCAATTACTTGTCCTCTAATTTGGGTCAGCTTGTGAGATAATGAACCTTGTATGCTTAATTTAGTCCTTCCTGTTCATTTACATCTAGAAACATACTTTCACAGATACTCTGGCTTTGCTTCTTTAGATTTTTTTGAATTAGCTTTGGCAGCATCTGGTTGTACTTATATGAATAGTGCTTTTGTATTTGTTTCATAACAGTTAACTCAAATGTAGGAAGCTAACCCAACTGTTTAGGGTTTACTGCTGCAGGAATACTATTTTGTTTGTTCAATTTGTGTTGTGTATTATCTGTTTTTTCATTCAACGAGAAAGAAGCTTAGGTGGTGTTTGATAAAACTGAAAATGAAATACTGAACCTCATTTTAAGTGGCACTTATTTTTTTTTTACATATTTTGGAGTCGTATAATTATGCGGGAGCACATATTTACATAACTTTGGGAGATATACTACGTAATCTTTCCCCCTTTGTGGACAATTGATTTGGGAGCATTGAGAATTTTCACACTAGGATATCAATTTTAACAATCATTTGCCATGATTTTGGTGGTATTATGATCAATCGTGATTCATGTTTTGTTTTGGTTCTACTTATTCCAATACACTTGCAAGGTATTTGGTATTTGGATACTCCCATGCATCAAGTGTTATGATAATATATAAAATAAGTTGACATCTTTATTCTGTGGGATTTAAAGGAGTGTTTATTGTCCTTGATGCTTTCTAAATTGAGGTTATTTTAGAGTTTAATGCCTCTTTTTCTGGTAGGGGGTGACTATTGGCTGATCCACTTTTGTGCTCAAGGACTTTGCTAGAAAAGAATGTACTTATTCGTTGTGGAACATGAAACATAGTCTCTAATTTGGATGCGCTCCTTAAACAATTTGTTGATGGGGGGTCCCTTTTTCTTGCTGTATTTGTGTGTGCGCGTGCTTTTTTTTTTTTTTTTTTTTGTCTGACGTGCTTTTATCGATTTATATATTTATATCTCTAATTCTTAGATAAGTTACTGTACATTTTTAGAGAACTGACTTCATGTTGAATTTTATTTATCCAAAGTTGATATTGTTGGGTGTATTGTTTGGGCATATCCTATTCTTTTAGTCTTCTATTTTGTTGACCATCTGTGTGTGCATGCATTTGTTAGAGTTGTGCGTTTTGATCTAGATGCACCTTACAGTTTATGATTTAATTTTGCGCAGCCCTTGTTTCGAGGCAATTCGTTGATATGTCTCGCATCAGAATTGAGGGGCTTCTTGCAGCTTTCCCCAAGTTGGTTGGAACAGGAAAACAACATACGTATATTGAGACTGAAAATGTGCGCTATGTTTACCAGCCAATTGAGTCCTTGTATTTGCTGCTTGTAACAAACAAACAAAGCAACATCCTTGAAGATTTGGAGACACTGAGGCTGCTCTCAAAACTTGTATCCTCTATGTTGGTATATGATAATTACTTTTTTTATTTGAATTATTGATGCGAGGTATGAATCACAATTTACTGAAATAAGAAAGAATTGAGGTTGTCTTGACATCTGCGTCCATTTTCTGAATTTGAATCTCTATTGTTGACCAGTCATTAGTCCCCTCCAGCCCCACCCAAAAAAATAAAAATAAAGAAATAAAACAAAATAAATGGAAAAGAGAAAAAAGAAGAAGAAGACGAAGAAGAAAGGTTGTGCCTCGTGGTCGTTGTACACTCTTACTTCTCTCTTATGAAGTATTACCGGTGCTTTGCACACTGTTCTAAATAATTGCACAGAAGATTTTTTCAGGGGTGATGCCTATCAAGATATTCATTTATTAAGGATATAGCACATAGAGATAAGATTGTTTCTTTAACTGTGTATAGGTTCCTGAATATTCTCTCTCTCTGGAGGAGGATGGCATTTGCAGAACAGCTTTTGAGCTGATCTTTGCTTTTGATGAAGTTATCTCCCTTGGGCACAAGGAAAATGTAACTGTTGCACAGGTTAAGCAGTACTGTGAGATGGAGAGTCACGAGGAGAAATTGCACAAGCTGGTACTGCAGAGCAAGATAAATGAAACTAAGGATGTCATGAAGCGCAAAGCTAGCGAAATTGACAAAAGCAAGGTAATTGCTTGGGGCCCTAAAAGTAATATGCTTAGGTTCCCTCTTCTCATTATTATTGTGTTTTTGTAAATTATGTTAAAAAATCGTGCATAAATACTTTGCAGATTGAAAAGAACAGAGGTGACAAAGGAGGGTTTATGTCTCTGCAGTCGATGGGTTCTGGTAGAATTGATAGCGGTTTTAGTAGTGATATGAGCATATCTAGCAGTGGAACTGGTTTTGGAAGTGGTTCTGGGTTTGGATTAAGCACTGATGTCGATTCATTTTCTACCAAGCCTAAAGGTTTGTGCCCTTTTATCTGTCAAGTTCAAAAATGCGCGTTGAATCTGATCTTTGTTTTATATGAGGTCATACTATATAATTAATTGGTGACAGCTATATAGGAGCTGGTCAAATGTTTTTGTCACAGATAAAACTTTCATCAGATGAAAAACTATGGACTATTGTACTGAACTTTGTCATTCTTTCACGTCCCTTAAGTTTAGAAGAGAATATAGTACTTGTATTAGTTTTGTTCTATTTTTATTGGTTGTTTTAGTTTTAGATGTAGCATATTTTTATTTTATTTTTATTTTTATATATATCTGAATAATTTCCATATGTGATCTAAATCTGACACAAGTTTCCTCAAGTACTGTTTTTTGTGTTTTCCCTAAAATCATTTGGTCCCTTTCTAGGAATAAGAATGGAGGTTTTTTTTAAATTTTTTTAAGATTAACCTGGGGTTTTTAACTAAACCCCAAGGACCTAGGAAGGGCGCCTCCGGCACCCTAGGCCGGGTAAGTCGTGGAGTATCACTGCGAAGGCGTAGCCCCAAGGAATTGTTTGCAGTTGCACTCAATGGGTTCTATTTCTTCTCGGTTGCTATGATGTATCAGTGTTGGTGTAATGCCCAGACTTTATTTTACATTTTTTTTTCCACCAATTTATCTTACATAATCAACATACTTTGCTTTTGTTCATTGACTTAATATCTTATTATATAACTATGGGATATTAAATCCATATTTCTCGAACTGCCAACTGAATTTGTAATGGACCTTAATGAAACACATGCAAAGAAGCTTATCTGAATACTAGCTGAGAGGTAAAGAAACTTTTTATGATTTAAGGTTACAATTTCAATTATAAGTAGACTCTACTGTTTGATCTATGTACTTTTAAACAGTATGTGGGAAATTGATTGCATGCTTTGCAATGAGATGAAAAAATGTGGTAGAAAAGCGTAAACTGAAAATTTAATCAGTGAGGCCAAGTTATTATTCTGTCTCGTATATTCATATTTGTTATTGTGGATCTCAGTGCAAATATCTGCTTTATGGTTTCTGTGATGCTTTTCAATTTGGCAATGTGTTTAAAAAAAGTGTGGGTTGATGTTTAGATGTTAACTTCAAATCTAGTTACTTTATGGTACCTTTGGATGCATCAGTGGATTTCAAATGAAGGAATTTGGGTTTTAAATGTAGGTTGGGTATAGGTGTTAGATTGGGTGACTAAAGGGGATGGCAGAGTGACGGGGGAGATATATTTTGTTAAGAACATTGTGTAACTAGAATCCTTGTTGGCATCGATTTCAAATAACACCTTTCACATTACTATTTGAATTCCACCTGTTTAAGACACTCAAATCAATCTATACATCTTCTTGATATCAAAATCTAAACTATTAAATCTAGATCTAAGAATATACTCCTTAAATAATTGAACTCGAAAGCTAATAATTTTAAATTCCTCAATAACTAATGTAGCGTTATTCTTTCCATGACAGACTCCTGTTATGCAAAGTAGGATAAAATGTGTCTGTCATTATATTCAGTGGAAAACATTCTATTATGTGTAAGACATTTAATTTGGCTCCTCCATCTTTTGGTTCATGAATATGAGATTCAGAGCACTTGTAACTTTCCCACATTAGTTCTGATCCCTAATGACTAACCACTTGCATCCACATGGATAGCATCTGCTTCTGTTGAGTGAGATTTTTATCTCAAAGATGCCTCTTTTGAAAATACCATTTTGATTAGGTCATAGAATTAGATTACTGAGATCAGTTGCTAATGTTGCAATTATTATATTGTCCTCCCTGTCTTTTAATTGTTGGTGTTGGTTGCCCTTCATGAATTGAAGATCCTTCTTCAGAAAGAACTGCAAGAGATTATTGATTGATTTTAACACAGAGAAATTTAATTATTTTAATTTGCATCATCAGGACGTCCATCTGCATCTGCTACTGCTCCTCCAAAAGGTCTTGGTATGCAGCTTGGTAAATCACAAAAGACAAACCAGTTTTTGGAATCTTTGAAAGCTGAAGGTGAAGTGATCCTTGAGGATGTGCGTCCAAGTGCCAGTCAGTCCAGATCAGCTGCTCCACTACCCACTGATCCCATCACATTAACTGCTGAAGAGAAGCTTAATGTGACATTAAAGCGAGATGGTGGCGTGAGTAACTTTGATGTTCAGGGAACCTTGTCACTTCAAATTCTCAACCAGGATGATGGGCTTATCCAAGTTCAGGTTCTCTCTCTCTCTCTCTCTCTCTCTCTCTCTGTATGTGCGTGCGCGGGTGGGTGTGGGTGGGTGGGCGGGTGCACACGGTTGCGTGTGCAGGTTGTTGGGACACATCATGGTTAAATCAGCTTAAATAGAAAACTACGTTTTTACCTTTCAATTTTGTTACATGGACTTAGGTGCAAATGCGTTTAAGGATTAGAATTTTTTTCTTTTTCCCCCCTGGGTGTCTAAGGATTAGAACTCCCTGGATCCTGAACTTTAAAATATGGGAATTTGACTTGAAATGTGTGCAAATAGTTGAGTATGAGTATGTGGACACTACTTGGACTCCTTGCACATTTAAACACATTATATGTTATAAAATGATGTAGCATACATGTTCTTTAAGTGTGTACTTAGAATTTAAATCAAATGGGATGTAGTGAAAAATTGAGTTTCGTCTATTTCAGAAATAGCAATTTTTTTTCCCCCCCATCATTACATATAGAGGATTAGGGTGTCCGATTTGGGTTTATATGTTGGGCATTCCCGTATTAGTTCTCATGTCATGTCATTTCGACATATGTAAGTCGAGAGGTATAGGAGAGTTCATGTAACAAAGGCTTTCACAATATATGTGATGTTAAAGATTCATCACATTTAATGGCCTTTGAGGTATACTCCTTTGGTGGTTTTAATGTTAAACTGTGTAGATATAGGTTCACATTCTTTATCTAGTGCCATGTTTACTATACTGTGCCTTACTTTCAGATCGAGACGGGGGGTAATCCAGGCATCCTTTTCAAGACACACCCGAACATCAACAAGGAGTTGTTTTCCAATGAGAATATATTAGGCCTTAAAGACCCTAACAGGCCATTTCCAACTGGTCAAGCTGGTGATGGTGTTGGTCTCTTAAAGTGGAGAATGCAAACAGTAGACGAGTCGGTTGTGCCATTGACAAGTGGGTTCGCATTTTAAGCCACTTGTCTTTTTAATTATTGGTTTGCTTTTATCTTCATGCCTTTGTAATTTATTTTAATTCTATTTTTGTCTCAGTCAACTGCTGGCCCTCTGTTTCTGGAAAAGATACTTATGTTAGCATCGAGTACGAAGCTTCATCAATGTTTGATTTGCAGAATGTTGTGATTTCGGTTCCTCTTCCAGCACTCAGAGAGGCGCCCGGTGTAAGGCAGATAGATGGCGAATGGAGGTGCAATATCAACTTATATTGCCATACTGTTATGTTGTATAATGTTATGAAATGAAATCATTAGCGTTTTGGAGATGATATTATTCGTTGCAGTGATGGATTGTGGTTAAAATTTGTTTTTATTTCAATTTTTGGTGGAAAGCGGTAACTATTAGAAACAACAACATTGCTAAAAGCTCCATCATAGTTTCAGTTTTATATTATATGTTTTATAGCTGGGAAAGATTACTGTCACATGAAAAGCAAGGTTTTTTTTTTTTTTTTTCCCCGGGTTGGGGTGGGGGTAAATACTCAGTGGAAAGGCGTAGATCCTTTCTGATTATTATTCCGCACCTCTATTTTTGTCCTACTTTACCATGTTGAATTACTGGAAAATGACCATTTTCGGTAAAAAGACAAGATGTATTAGCTTATTCAGCTTGTCTTGTACCTTTATAAATAATAGAATAATAATATCAAAACAGTGAACGGTCATGTATGTCAGCAGGAACAGTTATTTTCATTATATGTCAGGTTATTCAGCTTTCAACCAATAGGTCGTTACCTAATGCGGTGCCCAATAATTGAGGGTACTGAGAGGATGGATTGGGAGTGGACCTACATTTTGGCATTTTTTGTACAAATCGGTTACCCTCAGACTCAAACATGCATTCTGATGCATGGCAGCCTGACCTTTTACAATTGCACCAACCAGTACAACGAAAAAGAAAAAGAAAAAGAAAAAAGAGGAGGGGGAACTTTTTGTCAAAGTCTTGTTATAGTTTAACATGATGCGGTCATCAAGTCATTGTTAAACTGGTTTCAAACTGTTTTCTTTCTCCTTTCTGTTCCTTTTTTTGGGTGTCTCATGAATCTGAGTATACAATACCAATGTGTTCTTCCTTGCAGATTTGACTCGAGAAATTCTATTTTGGAGTGGTCCATACTTCTCATTGACAACTCCAACCGCAGGTCAGCATTGAATTTTTTTTTTTTTGTATAGAACTTGCTTTTTCTATGCATTCTGGATTAGTGGTGCTTGTTTGGTTTTTAATTTTGTACTGAATAACTTGGCAGTGGATCAATGGAGTTTGTTGTTCCTCCGGCAGATACATCAGTATTTTTTCCCATTTCTGTGCGTTTTACTGCTGCTAGTACATTCAGTGACTTAAAGGTTTGCCTTTCTTTTTTCTTTCCCCTCTTTTAACTGTATCATGCTATTTTCTGAACAAATAACACTGTAAGGTATCATTCCCGTGCCAGATTTTGTTTGACATTTTTTTTGCATGTATAATGTCTAGCACATATTATGTACCGTGTCCTTAACAACACACACACACACACACACACACACACACATTCTCACAGAGTTATGCACATTTTTAATATACTATACTAATAAGTTACCAGAAAAGATATCTAGGATATTAGGTGCTGAGATTGTAGAACAGTGTCATTGAAATGGAAAGGAAATTGGAGACTACATTTTTGCTTTAGTAAAACTCTGGTGTGCTTTCTTCTGTTGAAGCTGACTTAACCTTTTTGAAGTTGTAAATATCAGAACTGACGAATGTAATTGAAAAGTTGGTTTGGGGGAAGGAAGTGAAGAGTCATTGTTCTCCCTTTTTTTTAATACACGAATTGATGGTTGTGATATTACCGATCCAAGCATGCATGACAAGGATTTTTGGTTTCTGGTTGTACATGTTCCCGATTCCTGCAATGCCCTCTTAGTTCAACCAACTTAATTGTTGTTTATGAAGATATTCAAGGAAGTTAATATATTCAACTGTATTTATTTATTTAGTGTTTTTTAAAAATGTTTTTAGTATAAGCAGAGAAGGGCTTGCGGTGCACGTGCATAATAATCGAATGTTAATATTTGTTCACAGGTCCTTACTATCTTGCCAATAAAAGGTGGACCTTCTCCCAAGTTTACTCAGAGAACACTTCTATCTACAGAGAACTACCAAGTTGTGTGACTGATGTTTGCCCTGTGCCAGCAAATAGGTTGCGAAGGTCTCTACTATGTCAGAGATGTTATATAGTAGTTTTGGATGCAAGACACAGTTTTCATTTTTGTTTCTTTTCACATTTCATTTGATACTCAATTCGGGAAAAAGTGTGCTGAAAATTGTTGTTAGTTTCATTCATTAGCATGGAACCTGGCTTTAATTCTCAATTATTGGTTTATATATGGGATAAAGGAACTTTTGGTTTGTTGTTCCCTTTTGGTTTATACTTGTAAACTTGAAATGATGAAACTACCATCACCAAATTCTGGATTAAATATCTATCAGTTACCGACCTAGATGTATCTACAGGTGGTATAAGAAGCACCACTCACTTGTTCCACCGTTGTTTATTTATAATGACTTTATTTGTAGTCATCATACATCGTATATAATCTGAACTATTAAATCCTGTTGGAGGAGTTCAGCAAAGAGATCATCCTAATCGGTGTTGTTAAAGGCGCGACATTTGTGCTTTTAATATAAAATATGAATATGTTTTAATAGTAATTGAATTTTTTTACTTTGCGCCAAAGGACCTGTAGCATCTTGGGGTTTTGTTTAACATTAATCCTAATATCCAGCAGACAGAGGCCCAAACCATGAAATCTGTTTGTTAGTGGCAACAGTTAAAACAATGATATAATGTAATTGCTAGTTGTTACATAAGAAGACACATGTCAGATATAGGAGGAAAAAAAAAATGATACGATGTAATTGCTTAGTTGTTACATAAGAAGAAAATGAACACATAATTGTTAATAATTGTTACATAACAGCTATAGGATGAAAGCGTACAGGAGCAGGTTCAGTTGGAGGTGTTTTGTCATTGTTACATAAGAAGACACGGTTACATAAGAACAGGTTCAGTTGGAAGTGTTTTGTCATGAAACAGTGATATACTAATGTAATTGTTAATCGTTACGTACAGATATACGGTGAAACGTATAAGAGCAAGTTTAGTTAGGAAGACGAAGAATCAACCTAAGCTCGAGTGTTTATGCATTTTATAAAAATCGAATCCACAATTTGCACACACTTCAAAAGACCCCATCCGAATTTACGATTCAATTCAGAAGACTCACTAAGCTACTTGTGCTAAGTCAACGAAAGTTAGCGTAACTACCCAAATACCCTTTTTCAATTTTCATTTCTCTGGTTCTATATTGCCAAGTGGACGTCTTAAGACCAAGTCTCAATGCAGAATTATCTGAAAAGGACACCCAAAATTAGAAACAAATACCCTATTTTAGTCATATCCATAAAACAATAGGTGTAATTATATAGTATACGAAAACTTATATTATCCAGAGGTTGGTGAAATATAGAAATTTGCATACAACAGCGGCATCCAAGTAGCGGAAGAGGAGAGAGAGAGAGAATCTTATTCTTCCACAATTCACATTCTCTCTCTGTATCTACAATTCTCTCTCTCAAAATGTATACGTATTTCACCATAATTGAGCTCGCATGAACTACAATTTCTCAAACCATTTGATTTTTTGTTGGTTTGATATGTATGGTATGGGCGGTGGCGGTTTCTTTTTTGACTAAGAATTCGAGGAAGCAATTTAGGGTTTGGGCGTTCTGAGCAACTGTTCTGCTATTTGAAGACTCCAATTTCTACAATTTGCGTTTTTTCCAATTTATTACGAAACTACATTTGAATCGTTTGCGGCGGCGGACCGGTTAGGTGATGGACGCGGAAGTTGGCGGTTCCGACGAAATAATGGTGGTGCCAGTGCCGGAGTCGCCGAGAAATAAGGTGAAGTTCTTGTGTAGTCATGGCGGCAAAATACTGCCGAGGCCCGCCGACGATTACCTCAAGTACGTCGGCGGCGAGACCCGCGTCGTCTCTGTCCCCAGAGACGTCAAATTCTCCGGTAAGCACACTTCAATCATCATATTGTCTTGTTATATATACCACACACACATGAATAATGCTAGGCATTGTACCATTGATCTTATTTAAAATTTTACTGAATATAAATTCCACAGAGAGAAAAAAGAATGTTCGCGCTACATAACAACTTCATTTATAGGTTGACAGCTTGTTTTTCTTTCTATTTTCGTTTTTAGGTATTAGTTTCTTCCTCTTATTTATTTAAGTTTTTTTTTTTCTTCTATTTTTTAGGTGATATATTTTTCATTATTTATGTTACATTATAAACAAGAAAAGTTATTCATTTTAGGGTGCAAATGAATCAAGTCGAGCCCAGCCGAGCTTGAGCCTGTTTGGGCTCGTTAGTTTGTGGGCTTAACTAAGAATTGTGATGAGTTCAAAAAGCTGAACTCGGGTGCGGCTCGTTTAATAACAAATGTCCCTCAAACTCAATTTAAGCTCTATTCAAAATCATTTGGCTTGTTCATGAATGTATACAGGCTTACATAACTCTATGTTCATGAACATGTTCACGGACTTGCGTTAATGGAACATGTTTACAAGTCCTGCACTAGTCTATGTTCACGAACACATACGAGCCTACACGAATTTATATTTACGAGCCTGCGCAAGTCAAGTCCAATATTGTACGGGATCAGCTCATTTACTTAATGAACGAGCCTGAGTTATTAATCAAGAGCTCAGTTCATTGACATCCCTAATTCGTTGTAACTAACAATTACAAGAATGTAATGAGAGTATGCTCGTAATAGACTTACTTTAAGGACTTATATTTCAAGTCAATATGTTATAATAATTTTCTGTATTTATAATTAGAATTACTACTTTGGCCTCCAACCGAAATTTTTTGCTCCTATTAGATCCACCAACTGCAAGTTTCATTTGATCTCATAAAAATAAAAATAGTAAATTCGTGAATGTACTTTAATATATGTAAGTGATAAAGAAACTGACAAGAGACTAATCTGATAAACCTACTTGTAATCCATAATCCATGTGATAAACTAAAATGATTAAAGATTAGTATAATTACTAACGGACCAATGTCTCAGCGGTATCATACCCTTATCCCTATTTGTCAAAGAGAGATTAGAGGTTTGTGCATCAGTGGAGACATGAATGTGTAAGTACCATTAAAAAAAAATTTTTTTTTTGGTGACAGTCTTTCGAGTTCAAAATCAATTTACGAGTTTTCATTTCTTTGTCACAGAACTAATGGCGAAACTTAGCAATCTATTTGATGGTGAAATGGTCCTCAAGTATCAATTAATTCCAGAGGACCTTGATACCCTCGTTTCGGTAAAATCCGATGAGGATGTCCGCCACATGCTTGAAGAATATGACCGCCATGAAAGTACAGGGACCTTAAGGCTTCGAGCCTTCCTCTTCCCAGCCAACCCAATTGTAATGGACAACCAAACCCATCCCATGGACACACATTCGCTTGAGCAGCGTTACATTGATGCCATTAATGGAATCATTCGTGCTAATAATGCAAAACATACCTCCAGTACCAATCCAAACCCTCCACCCCACACCATTTCATCCACGGGCTCATCCCCGAAATCCCAAGAAAGCTGTGCCATTGACAACATGTTAGTATTGAATGGGCAGCAATTTCATATGCATAAAGTCCAGAGCTCACCTAGCTTGTGCGGTCCCAACAGCCAACAACACTACAACAACCACCACCATATCCACCAGCACCACCACCGTCACTACCCGAACCACCTCCGACAATCCCTACAACCCTGCCATGGGTACCAACCTCACAGAGGAGGCGGCATGCCAACCGAGAAGTTAATCTCGGTTAGGTCAGTGGAGAGGGCGGAGTCTTGGAGGTACCAAATGTTTGGCGCCGCCCCAATCTACCACCATCACTCGCCTAGGCACAGTGGGGGAAGTGGAGGACCCTGTGACAAATGTAGTGGTTATACTGATAGAAGGTTTGACAGAAATGACAGTTTCTCACACAGAACTGAGAGTTTCTCACCAAGTCCTCAGTAATAGGCAAGGATTAGTTTTCATTTGCCTGTTGCTTGTGAAGAAGCATTATATAGACTGTTGACTATGGAACATTGAAAAAAGACAAAGAAAGAAAGCGTAGGGTGGGAAAGAATACATTTTTCGTTTTAATTTGATTATTGAAATGTACAAACTATACTTGTAAATCTAACACCAATCGTTTTCTTTCTTTTTTCTGATCAAATGATTGTTTATTTATTTTTAAGTGCTTTGGCAAAGGTTTATTATGTATACAGTTCAAAATAAACTAAATAGTTAAGATATTTAAAGTGATCAATAATTGAAAAAAAAAAAACTCTAGGCATAAGTTTAACAGTTTTAAATATTAATATAAATATTGCATTATCGAGGAAAAACAAAAACTTTATAATAAAAGCTGCAAAACTTGACAGAATGAAGTAGAGCTCTTGAATGGCATTGAACTCTGAAACTGACACTTATTTTGCACCACTCTGAACTTTTCTTTTGCTTGCTGTAGTTAAGATCTGTCTACCACATGTCACAACAAAAACAAGAGTTGAAGTAACTGAGTGGGTAGACCCACGTTTCGTGAAACAGAAGTCACTAGTAAGAAGGATCCTCACTTAATTTCAATATATCCTGTAGAGTATAAAGAAATAAAATGAAGAAACCTTAGCTTATTGCTAGGAAGCTCAAACAAACTGGTAATATAAAGAACCAATATCGAACACCAAGTAAAAAAATAGCAAAGTAGCTACTAAAACAAAATGAAAACCTTAAAAGATGTTTCATCGAATAACTGATGAGTAAGGACCATTTTGCAGGCCAGAAATTCCGGCATCAAATAATGGTTCTTATTCCTATTTTCCATTCCGTTACATAATCAATCTGTAGCATTGAGTTATGTGTCTTTTTAGCTTCATTCTAAATGAAGTAGAACTCATTTCCATGTGATTATGCAAGTCAGATAATGCTCATATCACGCCCCAAATCTAGATGATCTAGTGCAAGAGAGAAATGAAAGTAAATCGGACCCGATACCCAAGTCCACAATGCGAAAGCAAAATCAGACCCGTCAACCTATGTAGGTCCTTAACCTCACGAGTAATAACTCCCTAATCCCATTCAAATAATGGATATACAAATCCTCACGATGTTAATGAAACCACGACGTCACATGAATGCATCATTTTTTTTTTTTTTTTTTTTTTTTTCTCTCTCTCTCTCTCTCTCGATAATTATATGATTTTTAATCTTGAAATGTCAAAACAAATCATTTTCATAGATGGTGACAACATGGAAAATTTTCATAAACGTTTCAGAAAGATTGGATTAAAAACAGGAATTTTGTCGCATAATATAATGTTTTTTTGCTAAAACAAAAGACCGATGTGACATATCACCAAATAGGTAGACAAACAACCCTCATTAGAACTTTAAAACAAGATTAAAATAACTATGAGAAGATCCCCCAAACGGCCCCTAAGGAATGCCCAAAATAAATGAATACATAATAATTTCATGTTAACAGTGCCCCAGTTGACTAACTCAACGTCCAGTCGACTAACCTCTGGATTCCATAATCATGGCTACTGAAAACCACCTCTTAGTATACTAACTCAAGGCCACAATTGACTAACATCCCTAGTTGACTAACTCAAGGACCAGTAGACTAACCCCACATGAACCCAAAGACTAACATGTTGCCCTAGTTGACTAACTCTACTCTAAACCTTAACAAATTTAAATGCCAAGATGAAGGCCTAAATGAATATGAGAATGACTATAAATCCACACACATGATGAATACGAAGATAATGGGGTACAACCCCTCTCATTTCAGGTAAAAAATAAAGGTCAACAAGGCCAATACCATAACTAATATGCTAGCAATCATCAGCAATATGAAATTAAACTGACCATAATCATACATATCATAACATGGCTACTTACTGATATACATAATACATCAAGTTTCTTCAAATTACATCATTCATACATATAGTCCAAGTTTAACAAAAATGCTACACAGAGCATGCCAAAAGTCCTTCCAAGCTACATCACAACTATGGATGAGGAGAGTCCTTCATGGCACCGCTCGGTCCTAAAAAGATTAATATAAATGGGGTGCGCAAATAGTGCTCAATAAGAATTATGTTATACAAATAAACTATGTTCCTTTGAATCCTACAAACATGACGTGGGCTAAGCAATGCAAGGGACATGCTCCCTAACGTCTAGTCCAAGGAAGTCCTAAAAGGATGATCATGAACTAGTAAGAGAACCATAAATAAACCCATTTCATTCCAAGTAAGCATATACAAAGAAAATGAAATATAAATCAAATCCCATGTCGCAACTACACATGGATGCTAACTTGTAAATAAATATTCGAAATCATCAAATGGGATAACTCCGAACACACCCACACCCGCGGACATCCCTACTGAAGGCACGGGTAAAAGAATAGTTTTTTCGGACTATTGACCCGCCGGGAACAAAACAGTGGCCTTGTAAAATGGGAAAACCATGTTTCACCCGTGAGCATCGAGGCCTCGCATCAAAGTAACAAATTCTCGAGTGTCCCAAAATCAACATCCAATACACAAAGTAGCACATACACTTTAATAATCACGTTTATCACTTCACAAGCGCACATAAGCAAATGATATCCATATATATCATATCCTATAGCTTCAATCACTACGATGGCATGCTCATCTATGCATTGACATAAGTTATTGCATTATATAATCAAGAATGCTCAATTTAACTCACGTGAGCATTTTATCAATCATAAAGAGTGCAATGACTCACATAGCTTCACATAAGCATGCCTCTAAGGATATATTCATATATAGAACACAAATAATAGACATAGAACATATACTTGGAAAATTAAAGTAAGCTCACATGAGGTGAACAATGAATATACACATGCATAGACATGCATAGACATTAAGGCAATCACATATACTAATATTAATGATACAATTGAACATTGTGAACATGATTTCATTAATACAAATCATGTAATCATCATTATCAATGACTATCATCACTATACGTATTAAAACCATGCACACAACTCACACTATGCATGCATAACACACCACATGCCCATAAAACTCAAAGAAACCATAGGTTAAACTCTTGAAGGCATAACACACCCTCTACCTCACTAGGATAAGAAACCCTAGAAATCTCATCCTAAGAAATGTGCTCCAACTGTGAAATAAAAACTAAGGAAAAATAAACCATCGCCATCCCCACAATTTATTAACATGAAAACACCTACCCACAATTTTTAGGACTATTTCTTAACAAATTTACTATAATCAATGTTGAGTTATACTTCTAAGCTAATCAAACAAAAACAGCCAAGTTGTACCAACAAGCCTGCTTAAACACAAATGTGGTCAATTAGCTCGGGATCAAGCCAACACCCACGCACTTTGTGGGGGCTATTTGCAGCCCCTTAAATAAATAAAATATAAAATATAAAAAAAAAGAAAAAAGAATACACTAATTAATCCAATTGTCACAAAAATACATATATAAATTGTTGTAATTCAAGTGAAGTTAGAATAACTAATAAATTCACCCAAAAAGTTCATTATAAGGTCACTTAAACAAAATAATATATCCTAATAGAGATAAAGTGATTGATAGCCGACACACGACCATATAATTAAAAACATTTATCCCACCTACTTTCATACTTTGTGGGCTTCTTCTTCGAGCAATTTTTTGGTGGCCGCGTCCTCTTCGTGGTGATGACGGAGACCATTTAACCTTCTGATGCACTCTGATGCCAACAGGACAAATACTTTGCAAAGCGAGAAGGTAATTAGGAGACAATAAAGAATTACAAGAAATGCAAGAATACAACAGCCAATGAGAGAGCCTGTGCTTCCAAGAGGGTCTTCAAAGAAACCTGGTAGAAGTTCTAGAATTAAAACCATAATGACCACACAGTAACTCACTACAACAAGTACTAATGACACGATTCTGATATCCTCCTCCATCGTTTCGTCCATTGTATATATCGTCGCCGAGAGACCCTATAAAGGATAATCCCCTAGGATTAAACTGCTTTATAAATAAATATATATATATATATAGGTAGATATATTTATATATGGAATTTCCAATCCTATCCTCTAAAATTCAAAATATGCATATCCAAATCGGGAAGCGGGGATTTTGGAGATAGAACATGGAAGATGCGTGAGCATTCATAGATTCATATATTAGTGTTTGAATATATATATATATATATATATATATATAATAGCCCTTTCTCAGTTTTCTCTGCAAAATCATTCAAGTCCAAGGCAAGGTTGAATCAACATTCCTTGAAAAGAAAGAATTAATAAAAATGAAGCCAGAATGATTGCATGGTAACATGAATGATTTCAAGCAATACACTATGTGGAATAACAAGTGGCCAGCTATAATTGAATAATAATTCCACTTTGATTATCCAATTTATCCTGCCTTTTTGTTCTAAGCCTCTAAGGTAAGGGGAAAATCTTATTATAATGTGTTTCCAAACCGTTATTATGGTTGGGAATATATTTATCAGACTTTCACCAAGGAAGCTCTATCGAGTAATTTATTTCATTTTAGGACTATATAATTGTCTATAAATTATTGTAGAAACATCGTTGTAAAAGGTGTCAAACAATCGTATCAATACAATTTCTTTCAATCATGTTTCCTAGTTTAATTTTAATTCGACTTTCCTTTAGTTAATTATTATATTTTAATTCAACTTTCCTTTATTAGTTATTCCCTTTTATTTGCATTCCTTTTGCAATATCAATTCCCATATTTTCCAAATTCTTGCAAATTCAATTAACGTTAATTCATTACAAGTAGCTATTTTGAGTTTTATTTCAATCTCATTTTCCATTTAATTCAAATTTCAATTTCATTGCAATTTGTTCTTCCCTTTAAAGTCTTTTCAATTGAACCCATTAAAGAAAGTTGAATGTTCTCTTTTTGCCAATTTTTGAATCGAGCTTAGCCGATTTAAGAAGTCAACTACATTTTCTCTTCATTCTAAATGAAGTAGAATTCATTTTCATAAGTGAAGAAGATGGAATAGATCCTATGCACATGCACACTTGAAAGAAAAGAACCTTAGGCTTATTGCTAGTGCTCAAATTTGCACTAAAAGCTCAAACAAGTTGGTAATATAAAAAACTAATATCAAACTCAATTCCTTTTTCAGATAAT